AAAATGGAAAAAAAATCTCGCCATATCATGCGCCATAATTCTCACGACTTATGCCGTAACTAACTGCACACGAATTTATAAAAGTCAAACCTAATGTGCCCATTACACAAATCTAATACATTAATTAAGTCATCATTAGAATGAAGCTTAATGCGGGATGATGCTCTAATGTCGAGAAACATGCTTTGCAAATATGAGAAACTATTCAGACAGGTATCTGACTATATAATACACAAGCTGAAAAGGTGATCATATAACAAGATATGTAGCCATATAGAGGATTATTGCATTTAGCAATTGACTTATAGCATTTCATTCCATTAGCTTCCCATTGGGTTCTAAAAGTTTCACATCAATTTTAAAACGAGCATCGATAGCTTTTAGCATAACATTAAATAACAGCATTTTATATATGGCTATATCAATTCTGCTGTTTATGCTGATCTAGAATATATATACTTTATAGGGTCGCAGACCTTTCCGTCTATGCGTTATTTCTCTACAAAATTACAATATCTTCTACAGGATATCATATAATAAGATATCGTCTAGCAAATTCTCATAAACTTTGCCTTTGGGGTCAAACATTGGAATTAACCTTTTCAATAAAACACTTTCGTTTGAAAAAATTGATATGGTTTTTTGATCTTGTGTGTTCGTTCAAGATTTGGTTTATTGTTCAAAACAGAATAAATTTCTTGGGTCGAACCTGTTCGGTGCAAAGCCAGTCTTGCAACCTGGCTTAAAAAAACCATACTGAACTCTTAAGCAGCACCAATGCCATAAATATATTTCAAATACAAGTCTCTTGAACTCAACAAACTTAGTACTAACATATATATAGATATATAGAGAAATGGATATAGATATAGATATAGATATAGATATAGATATAGATATAGATATAGATATAGATATAGATATAGATATAGATATAGATATAGATATAGATATAGATATAGATATAGATATAGATATAGATATAGATATAGATATAGATATAGATATAGATAAAGATAAAGATAAAGATATAGATATAGATATAGATATAGATATAGATATAGATATAGATATAGATATAGATATAGATATAGATATAGATATAGATATAGATATAGATATAGATATAGATATAGATATAGATATAGATATAGATATAGATATAGATATAGATATAGATATAGATATAGATATAGATATAGATATAGATATAGATATAGATATAGATATAGATATAGATATAGATATAGATATAGATATAGATATAGATATAGATATAGATATAGATATAGATATAGATATAGATATAGATATAGATATAGATATAGATATAGATATAGATATAGATATAGATATAGATATAGATATAGATATAGATATAGATATAGATATAGATATAGATATAGATATAGATATAGATATAGATATAGATATAGATATAGATATAGATATAGATATAGATATAGATATAGATATAGATATAGATATAGATATAGATATAGATATAGATATAGATATAGATATAGATATAGATATAGATATAGATATAGATATAGATATAGATATAGATATAGATATAGATATAGATATAGATATAGATATAGATATAGATATAGATATAGATATAGATATAGATATAGATATAGATATAGATATAGATATAGATATAGATATAGATATAGATATAGATATAGATATAGATATAGATATAGATATAGATATAGATATAGATATAGATATAGATATAGATATAGATATAGATATAGATATAGATATAGATATAGATATAGATATAGATATAGATATAGATATAGATATAGATATAGATATAGATATAGATATAGATATGTGTAACTATATTTATATAAATTGTCTGACCTTTTTGGTCACGCACAATAATTCTATCAGCATTGCACATACTTATGCATACATACACATACACACATATATGTATGTATATGTGGATATATTTATAAACAATTGTATAATTGAGCTTTTATAATTGTGCGATATTTGCAACGAGGCGGAAGGCTATTTTAGAATGCTGCCACAGGTCTTTTTTTTCATCACGCTGCACGTGAAAATTTGCTGCGTGACTGTCGTGCGTCCACTCCATGCCCCCCCCCCCCCCCCCTCCCTCCACACACACCCCTCCCCCTACAATGCCACCCAGCTTCAGGGTAAAATATATCTTAACCTAAACCATGTTTGTTAGCGTCAATTAGCATTTTTGAAATTCTCTGATCAAGCGAATTGTTCGTGTTACGTAATTGCCGGCATTTAAGTTCAAAAATATATGCAAAATGTTTTATTTACATTTGTTTTGTTGTGTTTTTCGTTTTTTGGTTTTCATTTATAAATTTGATTTTGCAGCTCGTTTGGCTGCATTTTTGTTGACAGATTTTTGTGCAAAACGGCCTTTTTGTTGTGTATATTTTCGTATTCATGATTTGATGCCAACAAATTGGCGGTGAATAAACTAATTAACATGCACAATAATTGATATTGTTTTTTTTTTTTTTTATTAATGCGTGCCCGTGCAACCTTTTAACCGGATGAAAATCGATTCGCAAACAATTATATTTAACAGCTCCGCTCGCAGCTTGACTGCCCAACTAGATCATTAATCAATGGTACTCTCAGTGCAATGCGTCAATCTACGTATCTGGAGAATTAAGATATAAGTGGATTACAAATAATCGCCAACTATGCGAAGCATAGCCAATTTCTTGATGAATTTCGCTTGAAAAGCATAGCAAATGCGTGTATTCCATATTTTAATTATATTTTTAATTAAAATCACATGCAATTAGCATCGTTTAACTGCTTTTACCTTAGCCCGTAAAGGAACAAAGTTTTACGGACACTAGTTTTAAGGTAAGGGACATTTGTGTGCACTCTAGAAAGTAATTGGATTTATTAAATCTACATATTTGTAGAGAAGAGGCTGTTAGAGAAAGAGAGTGTGAGAGAAAGATAGTGTGAGAGTAAGAGAGTGTGAGAGTAAGAGAGTAAGAGAGTAAGAGAGTGTGAGAGTGTGAGAGTGTGAGAGTAAGAGAGTAAGAGAGTAAGAGAGTAAGAGAGTAAAAGAGTAAGAGAGTAAGAGAGTAAGAGAGTAAGAGAGTAAGAGAGTAAGAGAGTAAGAGAGTAAGAGAGTAAGAGAGTAAGAGAGTAAGAGAGTAAGAGAGTAAGAGAGTAAGAGAGTAAGAGAGTAAGAGAGTAAGAGAGTAAGAGAGTAAGAGAGTAAGAGAGTAAGAGAGTAGAGGTGAGAGTGTGAGAGTGTGAGAGTGAGAGAAAGAGAGAAAGAGAGAAAGAGAGAAAGAGAGAAAGAGAGAAAGAGAGAAAGAGAGAAAGAGAGAAAGAGAGAAAGAGAGAAAGAGAGAGAGAGAGAGAGAGAGAGTGAGAGAGAGAGAGAGAGAGTGAGAGAGTGAGAGAGTGAGAGAGAGAGAGTTATTAAAGAGTTTGTCCTGGTTGACCGAGTGAACGTTGACCAAAGGCCAAAACCGCTAAAAAATTTTGACCTGAGCTTCCTTTTGGTTTATAAAAGACCACCAAGGCGGCTTCTTGCAAAAATTCGACCCTTTAATGGTGTCAAAGTTTGTGTCAAACGTTGCGTCATGAGCCTGACCTAAATGTCTGCGCATCGAACTAATTAGCGAGCAGTCGCTGGTTCGAATGCAGCAGCAAATTCATTTTTTATGCATATTTTTTTTAAATTTGTAATAATTTACGCAGAAAATATCGTCAAATTAACATTTTAAAAAATATGTAAATAAAAATTGAGTTTGTTTTGATTTTGATGTCAATTAAATTTTTCGATTGAGTACACTCGATGGCTGAGCACAAGGTTGACGAAGAACTGAATATTTCATCCTGATACAAATTAACTCAAACGGAAAAGTTTAGTTTTATTTTTTTGTTAAATGAATCGAATATGCGAAACGAAGGCAGTAATATAATAATTAATAAAGTTTCCAAACCGCAACGGGGTAAGCATGGAAAAGTTTTGCATTCTCAGCATTACTCATTTGAGCCCGGCGACGACGGGTAATTTCCTTTAACGAAGCATAGGCTGCCATTGCATACGCAAAATTGTTGGCCAATTCTTGTTGAAACAAAATTATATATTCAAGGGATTTTTTTGACTACGCTCTTCGTATATATTCAAATCTTATCAACGTCGGACCGCTTTATCACATAGCTACCATATGAACGATCGGTCAATAAGTAGTATGGAAAAATATATAAAATAAATAATTAAAACTCAGCATTTACAAGCTAGATTATTTCCACATAACTGTAAAACCGTAGGGCAAATGTCGACAAGGGTATTAAATCTTTAGCGTGACGCAGATCTCGTTACTTTCTCGTTTATTTATTAAGTAGGCCCAGCTCGTAAGCTTCACAGTTTTTCAGTAAGCATTTACTTTGTTTGAGATTTGAATCAGTTTTATTATAACACTACTTGACTACAAACATTAAAAACTAAAAGAAAATTGTGCCTTTTGGACAAATTGTTGTCATCGTCATGTCCTGGGTACTTGCTATCTTTAGTCTCATTTAAGCAGGGGTTACAATAAAAGGTAGGTAATTGAATAAGCGCAACGCCAGCTGAAAGGAGAAATCAATCGGATTTCCCTTTTTATTTTCCAAGCATTGTGCTTTGTGTTTTTTGCTTCCTTCAAATACATTTTTAAATAAGGAGTTTATTTCTTGATCACAGATGTGGCATATCGGTCTAGAGGTAGTATACTAAGGGGAAATGCATTCCCTAATAACTTCGAAATTAATTCTCCGGTCTTTGTACAAATTATGGGGCTTAAATATGGCAACAAAATGTGCAAAAAACAAAGTGCAAGGCTTAGCATTTTTATTATTATTAATATCCTCATCCATATCGTCTCTAGCTCTGACGAGCTCCTAGAAATATGCAAAAAAAAGCTCTAATCAGAATCTGATTCCTATTCGAGGAATAGGGGAATATTATCGACGATTGGAAATGTATTTTGATTTGATTTGATTTTATTTTTTTTTGACCGATAATTTGATAACAGATTGTAAATGATGTCTAGAGATCACACAGGCAACTTCGAATAATGAATAAGTGCTCCATTTGCTTTAAGCGGGTTCATTATGGAATTTAATGGTTGCGAATCCTATTTTTGTAGCTCTAAGGTATGATATCGACAGGCGATAATAATAAAAAAAACTTGGCTAACTGTAAAAACAAAGTGAACACAAAAATGTTTGTTGTTGTTGTTTTCTTGAATTCTTACCAACCTGATAAATAACCCAGTAGACTGAAGGGTCCTATCGAACTTATAACTATGCCAGCTAGATACGTGTGGGCTAACTTCTAGATAAACGGAAGGAAATTAAATTAAACATAATATCTTGTAAGTACTAGAAGTAGAAGCACCTACAAAATGATAGCCTATTGCAAGCAGGACTCCGCCTAGTAAATGTACGCTGGATACTACAAAATATGCGCAGATTACCATACGCGTCTCTTTAAGGAACCCTGCGGAAAGTGCGATTATTTAGCCGGCAATTTTACAAATCGTTGCGCTCTTCAATCAAATATCTTACCACAGGCTATCAAATGTGCTAGGAAGAATGAGAATAGGGAATGTGCAAATGTCCAGATGATAAAAATAATTTGTTTTGATTTCAATGTCGAACAACAGCACGTATCCAAATATTCACACGCTTTGCATTGGCACATTTTAAACGCAAAAATTTTGATCTCTATGCTTGAATCCGGGGTATTGCTGAGTTTGGGGTCGGCTATTTTTCCTACAATGCCCAAATGCTAAGCATTTGCGTGCCTATTGAAAAATGGTGAAGTCTAAAACCTTCGCCTACTTTACAAAATATTCTTCATCTCTTGTAGGATTATAATATTGACGGAAACCCAATTAGAGACAAATTCGCTAAGGCTTTTCATAGTTTCCCCGGATCCAATGTGCCATATCCTTTCCAAGAACAGGCTTTTCTATGCGAAATGTTTTCATTGGAAATTTCACTGGTAATTCTCAAATATGGCAAAATTTGACAAATTGTACTACAATTTATGCGAAAATCAGAAAACAACTCGAATGATTCGAATTCTAAAATATGTACAAATTTGACATATTTGTGAGAAAGTCTGTAGGGTTTGATCTAGGGTATACGAGTGAAAGCTTGCCACAAACTTACACAGCGAAACCCGATTGTATGAAATATAGCGCCTACAATTTGTAAGCACGTCAATATCAAAATAATTAAGTATGCAATATACCACTCTAGTTCCTCATCTGATGGACTATCATTTTGCGGATAGCTCACATCTGTGATCAAGAAATAAACTCCTTATTTAAAAATGTATTTGAAGGAAGCAAAAAACACAAAGCACAATGCTTGGAAAATAATAAGGGAAATCCGATTGATTTCTCCTTTCAGCTGGCGTTGCGCTTATTCAATTACCTACCTTTTATTGAAACCCGCTTCATGATACTTTAGCTTCCCATGATATGCTATGACTACTTTGCCAGGCCTTATCTTTGAGTTCGTAATGTTTGTAGTCAAGTAGTGTTATGATAAAACTGATACAAGTCTCAAAGTAAATGCTTACTGAAAAACTGTGAAGCTTTCGGGCTGTGCCTACTTAATAAATAAACGAGAAAGTAACGAGATCTGCGTCACGCTAAAGATTTAATACCCTTGTTGACATTTGCCCTACGGTTTTACAGTTATGTGGAAAGAAAATGTCCTGGAAAATAAAATATTTTGCCATACAAGAAACTACTTATCGACTGATGGTTCCCATGTTAGCTATATGATATATTGGCCCGATACGGCCGGTACAGATATATGTTCTAGCTGCAACAGAAAGACGGACCTATGTAAGGACTAGTTCGCATAGAAAAAGAAAGAAAGACGGACATTTGGATGGATGATCAAGTCGCCTTACACATTTCTCGACAATATTTGAATACCCTTTACCCTTTAGTTTAGAGAATGATCTATAGTATTTTCTTAGTTTTAGTAGTCGGAAATTGACTGGCATATACCCCATAAATGCACATTTCTAAGCTTAGCATTCCGTATCATCCATTAATTTTCCAAGTAATTTTCAGTTTTAATTAATCTAACATTTTACATTTAATGGACTTAAACTCTCGTAACCCCCTTTTCTATAATTTTCAGTGTGGAATGCTAAAACACTTTCCATAGATTCCACTCCGCATACTTAAAGAGTTAATCGACTCAAGCAAGTTCGTTGCCAAAGTCTTTCGTATCGAGCATCAGCAGCGACTATTCTCACTTGATTAGTATGCATACTATATATGTATATAGTTAGTACGTGTATCTGCAATGATAATTAAAACTGTTTAAAACCTCACAACCAAATGGCAAATGGCCATGCTGTAAGGCGTGTAGAGACCACAAGATACATCTGGCAGCTGTTATTGTAAGAGATGGTCGAGAGTGGCGGAGGGGAGGTGGTGAGGGGTCGCAGGGGTGTAGGGTGCAAAGGTAGTGTAAGCAATCCGATCAAGGTGGAAACATGCGCTGCAATTGTATGCAAATGAACGCGTGCGCTGAAAATTGTATAATAATTGGAGAGGCTCAGTTGTGTGAGGCTCGGGATTGTGCTCGTAAATGAACAGAAACTATTTTGTACAATATGCAATATAATTCTTTATTGTTATTTAATTTGTTTTCATATAGCTACATATGTATGCATATATACTATATATATATATATATATATATATACATATATATATTTGTATATATAATTATGTATTTACTGTGCATGCGGCACGCTGTAGCTTCTAATATATGTATGTCTGTTAGCGTGTATGTCTACTGTACATACACACATATATATATATATATATATATATAATTGTTATTAATATAATTATATTTAGCTTGTTTTTGTTTTTAAATATGTTATTTGTTGCTGCTCTTTATGCTCTAGGTACCCATTTTGTTTTCTCTTTCTCTTTTTAATGTTTATCAACTATTTTTATCATTATGTTTGTAAAATTTAAAAATTTACCTTTGCAAAACATAAGCGTTAACAACTTAATTAATTAATTAGATTTATTGTATTTGTGTTTTTTTTTTGAAGGGCTCTTCTCTTTAAATTGTATTTTACATATTCTTTTTTGTTTTTACTCCTTTTGATGCGTTTCTGCTTGTTTTTGTTTTTGTTTCGTTTTATTTTAATAGCGACTAAGACACTTTTTTCATTTACCTTTCATAAATTTGCATTTGCATTTGCATTGAAATTACATAGAATTTAGTTTTTGTTTTTTTTTTTGTTTTTTGTTTTTTGTTTTTACAGCATTTAAAGCTACAATTTGAGATGTTTATGTGAAAAACGTAACAGTTTTAACTTTTCTTAGTTGGTTTTGTTTTTTTTGTGTATGTACAGCGAAAATGGGTTGAGGGAAACGGAAAGGGACTTTGAATCATGGCGGAATGTTGCACATGCAATGAGTATGCTTTATATATATATATATATACTGATATATATATATATATATAAATATATATATAATGTGTATGTGTATGGGTGTGTGTGTGTTGTATATATTTATTTTTGGATTTAAGTTTAGACCGTACTGTTTACTTAGCATATTTAACAAAAAGTTTATACAACTCGCGCTTGGCTTATTATAAACTAAAGAAAATGTTTGCCGCTTTTCGCTTTTCTTGGATTATATTAATAAATATATCAACAAATTACCCGCTGCACGTTCATATAAAAACTAATAATATAGTAAATAGTCGTTATATAGTAATAATATAATATAATATAGTATAATAATAATAATAGCTAATTTACAATTTATACGCTTAGTTAAATTCTGCAAACTAAAGGCTTACAATATTCGGAAGCAATTGAAACAATTCTTAGAATTATTCGTGTTCATCGATTTCCACATTTTGTTTCCGCTTAGATATTCTTTTAACTACCATTAACTTTATATAAACAATTACATATATATAGATTTGTCATTAACAGAAAACTTGAACCTAAGATTATCCAAAAAAACTATGCATCTATAACTTTAGTTGCGAACGTTGTGCTAAACCTGGGCGCTGTCCGAAAGTTTAGAACATTGCACAAAATGGTGAAAAAGGCAGGAAAAACGAAGTGAAGTGAGAGAAAGTAGGGAGAGTTAGGGGGAAATCCACAAGCAGACACATACACACACACACGCTGAGGCACACGCACATACACACACAATCGAAACAGTCATCGCGATTCTATTCGACTAGAATTCGAGTCAGCATATATAGCCACAGATATACATATATATATATATATAATGTATGTATAGCTAATATCAGGACAAATTATAAAACGCTCCCAGTTCGGTTTTAGCACACGTTGAAAACTCTTGTTGAAACCAATCGCACTTAATGCTGTGTATTTGCAACAGTTGCAGGCGCTGTCGCTGCTGCAGCAGCTGCTGCTGCTGTTGCAGCCACGCCCCCAGCTGTTACTGCCGTCGCCGCCCCCGCTGCCGCTGCCGCCGCCGTTGCTGTCGCCGTAGACGACGCATTCAGGTCGTCGCCCTGCAGGTCCACATTGGCGGCACTGGCGTACTGCTAAAACCATGATTGCCTATTAATATCATACGGCTTGGTCATGCCCAGAGCCGAGGGTCGATAGGCGGCAGGCGGCGGCGGCGGCTGGCCATAGCCCGCCGCGGCGGCAGCAGCAGCTGGGCCGCCCAACAGGCTCTGGTTGAAGATCATGCGCGCATGGAAGTCATCGCGGCGCAGATATTGCTGGTACAGCTGCGAATTGGGGTCCAGTTGGGTGGCAGCAAAGGGATATGCCGCCGCAGCAGCAGCCGCCCGTGTCGATGGATGCGCTGCAGCCAAAAACGGATAGGAGCCGGCGGCCGTATTCAATGGATTCTGTGTCTTGTCCGACGCATTGCCAGCCGCATTTGCCCCGGCGGCTCCACTGTGCGCCGGCGCCGGTGGCATATAGTAGGGATTGGGCGCATCACGGAACTGATCCAAGTAGCTGCTGGCCGCCGCAGCCGCCGTCTGATCGCCATACAAGCCGAGCGCACTGGGCGTGGGCGCGAAGTTGAAGGCGCTGCCCGGCACCATGCCGCCAGCGGACGTCTTCAGCGAGATGGCAGCCGCATCCGCTGCCGTTTGATTGCTCGGCGCGCTGCCAGCCGAAGCGGCTGCTGCTGCCGCAGCGGCGGCTGCTGCTGCTGCTGTCCCCGTGGCTGGCGATGCCACGCCGCCGGACTTGAGACCCGCATACAGCTGAAAGCCTTGATGCAGCACCTGTGCGTGTGCCTGCAGCTGATGTGCGGCCGAGTTGGCCGCCGCAGCAGCTGTGGGCATCTGTGGCATGTTGTACTGCGGCATGGCCTGCTGCTGGCTATGTTGCTGCTGCTGTTGTTGCTGTTGTTGTTGCTGCTGCTGCTGTTGTGCTGTGACTTGTTGTTGTTGTTGTTGCTGCTGTTGCTGCTGCTTAACATTTGCCTCGGCTGCAACTGTGCTTGCCTTCTTCTTGCGTCCACGCTTGGCAGGCGCCTTGACCTCAACAGCTGGCGCTGCGCTCACTGCAGCCTGTTGAAGTTGTTGTTGCTGTTGTTGCTGTTGTTGTTGTTGCTGCTGCTGCTGCTGTTGTTGCTGTTGTTGTTGTTGCTGTGGTGAGGGCTGCGCGCCATTGTTGCTGCCGGGCACATAGTTGCCGGGCAGCTGCTGGGCGGGATTACCGTACGCTGTGGCCGCACTGGACGCACTGTACATATGAGCCGCGGGCGGCATATTCTTGTCAAAGTAGTTGACCGGATAGGCCAACATGGACTCGGTCAAAGTGTGCATCAACGGATTGTTGTAGGTTTGCGGCGGTGGCGGCGTCGGCTTGTTGTAGGCAGCCAGATGATGAGTCTGGCTGAGATGATGCTGATGCGCCGGCAAGTGCAACATGTTGCCGTTGTCGCTGTTGGACGCCACAGCGGCCTGTGTTGCTGCCGGCTTGCCAGATGTCGCCTGTTGCACGGCAGCAACAGCAGCTGCTGCTGGTGGATAGTTGTGATTCAGCTGCGCCTGTTGCTGGTAGGCATTGTGTGGCTGTTGCTGTTGTGCATGTTGCTGCTGCTGCTGCTGTTGCTGTTGTTGCTGTATCTCCTGTTGTTGTTGTTGCTGCTGTGCGGGCTGTGACTGCTGCTGCAGGTTGTTGCTGCTGTTGCCATAGTTGAGCGGCTTGTGCGGCGCCTGTTGCTGCTGCTGCTGTTGTTGCAGCGGCAACTTTTGCTGCTGCTGCTGTTGCTGATAGTTCAAATTATGCGGCGGCTGCAGCTGTGTCAAATGCGGCTGCGTTTGCGGCTGTTGCTGTTGCTGCTGACTGCTCTGCTGCTTGTTGACCGCCGCCTGTTGCTGCTGCTGCTGCATGTTGCAGGCACTGTTGTCCTTGGCAAAGTCCTTGGGAAAACCCATGGCCGCCGCACGATTATACATTTCGAATGCCTTATCTGGCGCTATGGTGCCCAGCTGCTTGTTAAAGGCCATCGAGCCCAGAAAGCTATTGAACATTTGTTGTTGCTTATTGAGCAGCGTTTGCGGTTGTTGCTGCTGCTGCTGCTGTTGTTGTTGTTGTTGTTGCTGCTGCTGCTGCTGCTGTTGTTGTTGTTGTTGTTGCTGCTGCTGTGTTGCTGTGTGCAATTGCTGCTGCTGCTGCACATGATTCTCATCCAGCTTGGTCAGCTTGCTGGCGGCAACATCGCTGTAATCCTCGTTGGCGCGTTTCAGCGGATTAATTAGCGTATCCGTTTTGGCGGGCTGCTGCATTTGATGCTGCATAAAAGTTGCCATATCGCTGCCATAGCTGGGCGGCACAATTTTCTGCTGCTGTTGTTGCTGCTGCTGTTGCTGTTGACTGTCCACAGCATCTGCGGCTGCTGCTGCATTGGCCGCCGCATTTGTGGACTGATATTGCGCATAGGTTGGATACTTGGGCTTCATGCCATGCAGCTGCTGCTGATGAGCGAGCGCCTGATGCTGTTGCTGCTGCTGCTGCTGTTGCTGCTGCTGTTGCTGCTGCTGTTGTTGCTGTTGCTGCTGTTGATTCTGATGTTGCTGCTGTTGTGTGACCTGATTTGTGGCTAGGTTAGGCGGCAGCAGGCTGTGTCCCAGACTCCAATCATTGTTATTCGGCTTGGCCACAGGCGTCGCTGTGGACACCGCGACGGGAGCAGCAGGTGGCAGCGGATTGATCAGCGTTGCCGGATTATACAAAGAGTGTTGCTGCTGCTGCTGTTGCTGCGCTGTGACCTGTTGTTGGTAGCTGTCATGCGTTGGCGCATAGCCATTATTGCCCATTGTTGCTGCAAGGAGACATGGATTAGACATGTTTCTATCAATACGAAATCGGGTTTCAATTAAAAAAGTTCTAAGACAATTCACAATCATGTGCGGAAAATGCGTGGAACTTTTAAAAATGTATTGCATATTGGCAGAGCCTTTGCTTCAGACTGTAAATCGAACCAGCGACAATTTGCTAAGCGGAAACTCACCTGTTAAAGGCACCAGAGGTGCTGCGGCTGGTTGGCTCGTTGCCACAGGGGCAGGCACCACAGGCGGTGGCACCACCACGACTTGCTGCTGATATGGCGACAGCACAGGCTGCTGGTACGGCGAATGTTGCTGCTCGGCCGGCGACTGTGCCAGCGGGGTGGGCGGCTGTGTGGCCGCCGAGGAGGCAGGCGAATCGACGCTGCTGGGCATCGGGCTGAGCGCCTGTTGCTGCTGCTGTTGTTGAGCATTGGGGCTGTGCGAGGGCTGCTGCTGCTGCTGTTGTTGAGACTGCGGCTGCGACTGCGCTGTCTGATGGTAGGGCGACTGGGCGTGATAGGGCGAAGGCTGCGTAGAGTGGGGCGTGGTGTAGGGCGAACTCTGCGGCTGTTGATAGGGTGAATGCGGATTGGGCGTGCTGGGACTCATCGAAGAGTTGTAATCGGATTCCTGTGAGCGCGGCTGTTTGTACTGATCGTAGATGGGCAGTGGCGAGGTGGAGGAATAGGCTGGCGTCTTGGACGCCTCCGAACCAGACGGATTATAGCTATTGCCGCCACCATAAGGCGATGTGCCACTCAGCTCGGGCGTGGACACATTTGGCGATGATGCCGACGAGTAAATGTGCTGAGAATATTGCGGATACGGTGAGTTCATTTCGCGCGGACTGCAGCTCTTGTCCGGGCTGCTCTTGGTCGTGGTGTCCTGATAGAAGCCCACCTTGATGGCGCCATTCAGGGTATACGGCGACGCCGGCTTGCCCATGTCATCGTTCGGCTTGGGCGACACCATAATGGGCGAGGCGCCGATGGGCGAGGCGCAGATGGGCGATGTATACGAGCCAGCCGCATAGGAACCGTAACGCTCATCGATGGCTATGCGCGGCGAGTCCGGATCCTGACTGAATGAGCTGCGCTCCGAGTTCGTACTGCCCGTGCTCGGCTTGCGCTGGCGCATGACCACCGGCAGCGAAAAGTTCGTATCGCCGGCAGCGGGCGAATGGGCGGGTGGCGCCACCCGGGCGTCATCCTGTGCCAGCAGCTGGGACTGTGTCGTTGTTGGCTGTTTCTCCTCCTCGCTGGTGGATTTCTTGTTGTTGACCTTTGGGCCGCCGAATGCCTTCAGCCAGGCACTCAGATTCGGCTTCTCCTTATCCTTATCCTTGGCGGCCTCGGCTGCCTTTGCAGCCATTTCGCTGGCTTTGCTCAGCTCGAGCAGCGCCTCGAATGGCTTCGGCATTGACTCCTTGGTGGGCGTTGTGGCCGTTGCTGACTCCTCCGCGCTGCTGTGCTCTTTCGACTCCTGATCGTGATCCTGCTGCTTGTTTGCCAGCTCCTCGAGCGTCTTGCCCAGCGCAAAGTCCTGCGTTTTGATGACCGTGCCGAGGCTGAGCTTTGGTGCCGTGTCGCTGCACTCCGTGATGAGCGCATTTTTGGTATCCGACTTGGACTTGCTGACCACCGGACAGAGCAACGTTTCGAGCTCGTCCGTCTTGGCCACCACATTCTGTATCAGATTGCCCTTGGTCTTGCCCGGCTGCAGTCGCTCGATGGTGCGCATCACGTTCGCCTTGGCCTTGGCCTGCTGTGCCTGTGCATTGGCCGCCAGCTTCTCCTTGAGCGACTTGCGCTTCGCCTCCTTGACCATCTGCTGCTTGATGTGCGGCGGCGGCGGCGGATTCAGCAACAGCTGTGTGCTGCCCGGCTCCTTGTGCTTGACGGGCGGCGTTGTTACCGTCGCAACTGTTGCTGCTGCTGCTGCTGCTGTGGGCAGAGCTGCGGCGACGGGCGGCGCTGCTGCTGGCTGCTGCGCGGATAACGTGGAGTTGTTGGAGCAGGCAGAGCTCGAGCTGGCCGCCGTGGCCGAGGTGCTGCCTATTGAGTTGCCCGAGTGCATCGAATGCGGCGGCGTGCCGCAGCTGCTGCTCACGCTGCTCGCCGTGGGCAAAGTTTCCGAGTCTAGTTTGCTGCTGCCGCCGGGCTTGGGCGTGGCCGTTTCGCTGACCAGCTCGTTGAGCGCCTCCGCGAGCTTGGTGGGCACCAGCTCCGCCTTGGGCGCAGCCAGTGCGACGGGTCGCCTAAAGTCGGCCGCGTCCAGTTTGCTGCCAATGGTCGAGTCAAAGTCATCCAGCAGATTGTAGCGCGAGGGCGAATTGCTGGCGGAGCTGAACTCGGAGAAGCGCGGCGTATGCTCCAGCCAGCGATTGATATCCTTCAGCGTTTGCTCCGTTTCCACATCCAGCGCTTCCAGATTCGTATTGCTGCTGGGCGCCGCTTTCTGTGCAGCTGCCGCTGCCGCTGCCGCCGCCGCCGCCTTTTTGCCGGTCAGCTTCTTGTGACCGGCGCCCTTCTCCGCCGTTGACTTCTCGGCGGGCTTAGGCGGCGGCGGCATTTGCTTATCGGCTCGCTGCTTCTTGCTGCTCGCCTTGACGCTGGTCTCCTTCGGCTTGGCATTGTTGCTGGCGCTGTGGCTGCCGGCGCTTCCGCTGCACTTGGCCGCATCCTTGCTGCTGGCCAGCTCTGCCCGAGCAACTGGCTCTGGCGGCATTGTTGAGGACTTTGGCGGCGGCGGTGGCGTCAATTCCCGCGGCGGCTTCTCAGCGTTTTTTGGCGTCTCTGCTTTTTTGGGCTTCTCCACAGGTTTCTCCTCCGCCTTCTCGCTCTTCTCCTGCTTGGCAGACGATTTGTCGCTTGGATTAGATTCCTTTGGATGCTTCTGCTCTTTGCTTTTACGTCCACGTTTGTGTTCCGCAGCTGGCTCTGTGGTATTTTCACGCTTCTTTTTGGTTGCGGACACGCTCTTGACACTCGTCGATTTCGAGTCCTCGGAGGGTGCCAGCGAAGTGGTTGCACTGGTGGAGCCGCTTTGTGCGGCGCGACTGCGTCGATATTTGATAACGTCGTATTTGTCCATAAATGGCAGCAGCATCTCCAGTTCCGCTTGCTCGGCGGCAGCGGCTGCAGCAGCCGCCGATTCCGCTGAGCTCTTCTTGTGCTTGGTACTGCGCGATTTTTCCTTATCCTTTTCCTTATCTTTGTCCCTATCCCTATCTTTGTCCTTCTCCTTCTCCTTTTCTTTGTCTTTATCTTTGTCTTGTCGGCTTTTCTTTTCGCGCTCCTTTTCCTTTTTCACTGGCGGCGCCTCGATTTTCTTGCCTCGCTTGACGGCCACCGGCGAGGGGGGACGACGTCGCCGCTCATCGGAGCTGCCGTGGCAGCTCGCGCCCAGCAGCATAAAGTCGGACTCCGAGTCCTGGTCGGACTTGTCGCCCTCGTGGCGTGCGCTCAGCTTGGAGGTCTCGGCGCTGGTCACCTTCTTGACGGTTGTCAGCAGCTCGGAGAGATCATCGTTGAGTGCGCTCTTTGAGTATTTCTTGTGCAGATCCACCTTGAAGGGTGACATGCTGCGCGATCTGGACGCATCATCATCGTCATCCGCATCGTCATTATCCTCGTCATCTTCCTCCAGCTCTGCCGCGGATTCAGCCAGCGCCGCAGCAGCTGTTGGCGGCAGCTGTTTCTTTGCATTGATGTCGTACAATAGACTATCATCGTCATCGTCCAGGTCGGCCAGCTCCCGATCGGCTTTGGCGCGACCGCGTCCAACTCTCTTGCTCTTTGGCTGACGCTTGACGGGCGTTGGGGTCTTCACCTTGGACTCGGCGGGCACCATTTTCTTCTTCTGCGCCGCGATTGTGCGCGCCGTCGGCTTCACCAGGGACTTGACTTTGGCCAAAGCCAGTTCCTCATCGTCGCTGGACTCGGGCTCACTTGGCGGCGGCTCGCTTAGCTCCGACTCGGGCTCCGTTTCGGGCGTTGACTTTTTGCCCGCTTTTTTGGTCTTTTGTGTTTTGGTGCTGGGCTTTGAGGAACTGCTTGCCTGGCCCTGAGAGGACTTGCTGCCTTTGGCCTTGCGTCCACGTTTGCCTGAGGATCCACCAGCTAGCTCTTTGTCCTTGTCCCTGTCCTTGTCTTTTTCCTTAAGTACTTTGTTGCTTTTGCTCTTTTTCATTGCTTGCGGCGGCGGCGGCGGTGGTGGCGGTGGCTCTGGCTCCAACTCCTCCTCATCCGTGTCCATGTCATCGTTGTGACTGCTTCTTTCCGCTTTGTTTTTGGTTTTCTTTTTACGCCGTTTATCCTTCTCCTTGCGCTTGCGCTTCTGCGCGTGTGTTGCTGTCGCCTCCGCGGGCTCCTCTGTGTCGCTTTGGTGCCCCTCCTCGACGCTGCTGTCCTGCAGACGCTTGCTGGACGCAGAGTTCGCCGAGGATTCCTTCTCCTCCTCACCTTTTGCCTTCTTGCTAAAGTACTTCTCGCGAAATACATTCATCTTGGAATCAGCGGCGGGATAACTTAAATTCGGATCATCATCGTCGTCCTCGGAGAGGTTATCGAAATATTTTTTAGTTGCCTTATCGAAGGCTTCCTGCAGATTGTTGACCATTTCCGTGTACTCTGTTGGTGGGTTGAGAATAATGTCAATGACAAATATTTATATAGATATTATGTTACGAGATAATCAATACCGTTGTTGTGGCCATTGTACAGTCTGCAATTGTTGACAATCAGGCGAAAATCATTGCGAAATTCGCTGAACTTGTGATACTCTCCACTGTCCAGTTTGTCCTCCATCTTGAGCAGGTCCATGGGCCTAGATAAGGAGAGAAATATTTGATATGTAATTGAGTTGTGTATAAACTTGTATATCACGGTTCAAAGCAGGGTTTGAACCGAGCAGGTTTGAATATTTTTTATAATGAACTAAACCCTGAACCCAACTAGCCTTCGGTTCGAGCTATATGGATAAAATGGTTTGGCCATCAATTGAATTCAGTTGAATGTGAATGAAACAATATTTGCAAGAAATGCATTAGAGCTAAAAAAAAGTGCTTCCTATTTGGATGTGAGTAAAGATTTTTGTATAATTTTTAATGTGCCAAAAATTAGAAAAGATGTGAAGAACCAAGGTTCCAAAGAAAACCTTAGTTCATGACTGGGTTTAAGAATCCAACAAAAAGATTATTTACTATTTCGGAGTCATATATTATTCTTGAAAATGTCCCGATTAAATGAATAATGTTGAAAATGCTATTAGTATCAATTCTAAACAACTAACAATTTAAATTTGAACCGGCGACCTCTCGTTTGCTAGTCTAACAATCAGACAGCCAGCCAAGCGGCTTCATGTTGTCACAAAAGACTTTGATCAACATTTTGCCCTACTAAATAAATGATCCACTTCGTAGCTCTATTTTTTTTTGCCGCATGTTTATTAGGACACATTAGTTTATATATATAGTTTACCTTCTAATGATTGAGTAATAGCGCGGCGCAATATCCTCCTCAACGGGATCCATGAAGGGCCATGCATCCCGATGATTTTTGACATAGACGAGCACCTTGTGCATTCCGATTTGTAGTACCTCCTCCGTTTCGGTAAAGCTAAGAATATTCGCATGATTTGAGGAGTTGAACGTTGAATTGTTGTTTGCTTTCGCTGTTGTTGTTGTTGTTGTTGTTGTGATTGTTGTTGGGTTTTGTGTTATGGGTCTGGTTAGGTTTGTTGTTGTTGTTGTTGTTGTTGTCGAGGAGTGAGATTTATGTTTATTACTGTTAATATGACTATGAAGGTGGGTGTTGTTGTTGTGCGTGTGATATGTGTTGTGTGTGTGTGAGTGTGAGTGTGATGAAGGTGTGTGGGCTCCGTGCGGCGTTGTTGTTGCGGTTGTTGTTGCTTCCGGCGTTGAGTGGTTGTGATTATTGTTGTTGTTGTTGTTGTTGTGATTGTGGTGCGACGCGTGCTTATGGTGGTGGTGGTGGTTGTTGTTGTTGTTAAAGCTGCTGTTGCTACGGTTGTTACTATTTACATGGCTACATTTTGTTGGTATGGTGTTTTTTTTTTTACGGTTATGATGAACAGTCAATATGTTGTTGGTTGGTTGTTTGGTTGGTTGGTTGTTCGTTTGGTAGGTACAAAAGTTTACAATAACAATGGGTAATAAAATGTTAATCAATTGATATATTATATACAATTTGATGAAATATGATGTGTCGGTTAGTCAAGAAGAGTGCAAAGGTAGAAGGATTAGGTTCTATAGACATGCCGACAATAACGAAACACAAAAGAAACTACAACTACGAGTTAAATGAAGAGTACTTTGATAAACTCTAAAAGATATTACAACACAATATAAAACAGTTAACTTCGGTTTACCGAAGCTTAAGTACCCTTGCATATTTTTCGATATAGTTCTACAATTTTCCATTCAATAAAGTTCTGGTTCTTTTTTATTCCTTTTAGCTTTTGGTTTCTTTGGAAAATGTATGCAATATATAATATATTATTTTGATGTGGATCGATTATATGACTGGTAAGTTTGGTTAATATATTTTACAAATTGTTTATACAAAATTAATGCTGGAATGAACAATTTTGAACCCTGCTTGAACCGAATATTAAACCAGGTTTCTGGACTGAAATGCAGTCGAACTTAAATCTGTCGAACTTAATTGGGCTTAGCTCAAAAACCATTTTTTTTATATTAATATTTTAGAATAAATTAGTCCAATATTCGTTAGTTTATGACATTTCTAAACATTTTTTCAGTATTTTGAAAATGAAAAAAAAAGGAGGAATTTCGATAAGAAAAATTTTAAAATATAAAATTAAATTTATAAAATATTCGATTGTTCTATGGAAAATTGTATAAAATGTGAGAGTAAAGATTTGAAGCAAAATTTGGGTTAACATATGTGGCAGGGTTTACGAATCGAACCGAGGCATTGGTTCGAACCGTGAAGTGCACTTTTTATTTAATCCAATTTATCCAATTTAAGTTTTCGAACAAACTTTCCTATGTCAACTATAGAACTTGGTAATCGGATTATACTTAAGTAATGCCTGTACCAAATTTTCCTAGTCTATGTTTTACAGAGAGTCGAATTCTTATAGAACAGACAGGTTATACGAATAGCCAAGAGCTCTAAAAAGTTCGAATTTGTTTCCACTGCACTACTTGCCACATATATTTACTTGACTATACATAATGTATGATATGTCGGGTTAAAGACAGTTTCTACAGCGTGTTTACGAATATGAAAAGAGTTTCAGGAGATCTGGAGATACTTGCGTTAGTATTTAATATAAAGAGTGTGTGCTGTGCTATGTTTTGTCTAATCGGTTAGTTAGTTAGTTAGTGGGACTTACTCATCGGCGCTTTTGTCGGAGTAGGCGCTGCTGTAGCGTTCCGCCTTGCTGGACGAGGAGGCACTGGAGGCGGCCGAGGAGGGAGCTGCTGCAGCCGCCAATGATTTTTTGCTTTTCGCCTGTGCCTCCGATTTGCTGGCACTGCGTTCCGCTTTGCTGCCGGAGCTGGTGCTCACACTGGCCTTTTGTTTCTTGGACCGTGCCGTCGTCTCGGCTGCGGAGTTGGTGTTGCTGTTGCTATGTTGTTGTTGCTGCTGCTGTTGCTGGTTGGCGGCTGCGTTGCCGCCCGTTGGTATGAAAATGTTGCCCGTTAGGGAGCTGAGTGAATTGTTGGTTTGCCGGCCGGGCAGCTTCACATTGGCCGCTGGCGCCATCTGCTCCTCGCGCTTGGCAGCCACTGGCTGTGCTGTGGTTGGCTCTGCTGCTGGCTGCAGTTGCTCCTCGCTGTCATGCGCCACAGGCGAGGGCAGGCTCAGGTTCGCAATGCTTGTGGCGACCGCAATGGCCGCCGAATTCGAATCCAGCAATTGCAGCTGTCGGCAAAAGTTCTCCTTATCCTCGGGACTCAGCGACGCGGCGTGCAGCAGCTGCGGCTCGGACGTCTCTGGGCTCGGCGGCAGCTGTTGCTGCTGCTGCGGCTGCTGCTGCTGCTGGCGACTGTGGCGTCGCTTGTGGCTGCGAGCGCCTGTTGTGCTGCTGCTGCTGTTGTTGCTTTGCTCGTTGTTGTTGTTGTTGTTATTGTTGTTGGTGTCCTCGCAGTGCTCGTCTGTCTCAGACGCATGCTTATGACGCCGCCGATGGTGATGATAATGATGTTGATCTCGATCCCGTTCCCGTTCCCGATCTCTATCTCGATCGCGACGCTCGCGTGAGCGTTTCTTTTGCTTCTTGCCAGACTTTTTCTTCTTGTGGTGATGATGATGATGATGATGATGATGGTGGCTCTTGCTCTTGAATTTCGCTGGCGTTTGTGATTTTTCTCTGGGCGGCGGCGGCGGTGAACGGAATTTATCGCCAGCTGCTGTGACAGCGTTTAAATGCTGCTGTTGCTGCTCGTGTTCCTCTTCTTCTTGTTGCTTTTGTTGTTGTTGCTCTTGTTCTTGTTGCTGTGCTAATTGTTGCTGCTGCTGTTGTTGCTGTTGCTGTTGCTCTTGGTTCGGCTCCTCGTCGTCGTTTTGGTCATCGTCTTCTGGCGAAAGACAAAAGGTTTCCCTGTGGCACAGAAATTCGCTCGAATTAGTTGTTGTTGTACGTCTGAGGGAGCTTGCGTAAGTTGAAATACCGCTAGCCGTTGAAGTCGATTGAGAACTGCAGAGAGAGGTAGTAAAAGAGAGGGAGAGAGAGAAAAGAGCAAAAGCAGAAAATAGTTAAGTATTGCTGACAAAACACAGGAAATGTTACGACAAGCTTAATTAATGTCACACGTACAGTAGAAATCGCTTAAGACTAACGCGCAAATGAAATGTTTATATGGAATGTGAAGTCTCAAGAAAATAATGTTGTATATTATTTCAAATTAATTTTTTTTAGACGAATTTCATGGGTTTCTTTTAATTATCAGTTAAAATAATAAAAAAAAAAACATTATCTGTTTTGGTTAGGGAACAGTAACTAATAAAGATATCAAATAAAAATGTTAGATTCAAGTAATGAAGTTCTAGTCTTCGAGCGATCACTGTATTTTATATGATTGCTAAACGATTTTTACTGCGTTATTATATTGAAAGTCTGCGTTAAATTGTTTTCGTATATGATATCTAGCTTACTGTTTGATGAAAACTGAATGAATGAGGTGCCACAACAAATGTTAAATTACAATAATAATACACCAAAAACAAAAAATATAATAAATTGGCAATATATCAAATATAGGAGTATTTAAAAAGCATGCTTACATAATTGTTCATATTGTGTGTTATATTTTTTTTATTTTTTGAAAACGAAATCCAACCAATTGTTTGTCGCACACAAAATTAAATTATGGGCAAAACTCAAATTAAGTGCTGTTTCGTCTCCTTCAATATTTGGTCCAGTTTCTCTTTCAGTCTCTCGCTGGCAGCCTGTGTTAAGCGTCGATGAGAATGTGATATTTTTTTTTTCTTTGTATTTCTTTTCTTTCTGTTTTAATAACAATTCTTCAAACACAAATTGCAAGCAAATTTCGTTTAAGTGAAAACAATTGAAAATTAAAAGAGTAGAAAAACAAATCAATTTGTAAATCAAATTAAACAGCGACTTTTTTTTTTTAAACAAAATATGCTTTAGATAGATGTGCGTGTGCTTGAATTGTTCTGTTTGTTGTTCTTGTTTCTGTTGTTGATGTTGTTGTCTGTGTGTTGTTGTTGTTGTTGTCGTTCTCAATGTGTGATAAATGATTGTGAAATGCTGTCCGCTCTCTCTCTGGCTCTCTGTTTATAATACTGGACGTGCTAACCGTCTGCGTGAGCGCTGCTGTACCGCCGGCGGCGCCAAATGAGCTGAAAATTGACGCTCACGACGTTCACGTTCGCGTTCCCGTTCGCGTTCGCGTTCACGTTCACGTTCGCGCTTCACGCGCTCCTCCTCCTGGCGCGCCTTGAGCTCGGCGAGATTACGTATGCGACTGGAGTTGCGCACTTGCAGCAATCTGTGTAATAAATACAAAAATGGAATCATTAGATGGGGTATATAATTGCTGTACATGATAAGCATGAAGCAAAGGGATTCATTAAAAAGAAATAGACAAAAAGGCGGACATAACTAAACCGACTCGACTATTGATATTACACAAGCATCTTTATACTCTATGATGTTGGAGAAGTCTTCAAAAATGTGTTACATGATGCGCAACAAAATTTTAACCTACTGCTTAAAGGTTTAGTAGAAGTATTCGAATTTTCTTCGATATCCCAATTGGATATTGGGCAGCTAACTGAATACAGCAAAGCCATTTAGTTTCCTTACATAAAGAACTTTATCTTAAGGCACAAGCTTAAAAATAAAGTCAAGATCTACATGGACAACTGTTAGTTGCAGCTATAATCACTTACTTTCTGCGTCTCAGACGTTCACGCTCGCGAAACAGCTGCGGCAGCTTGGGCAGAAAGTTCTCATCCAGTATTTGGAAGAGTTCACGCTCTTTACCATTCGTTGAGGTCTTGAATTTGGCTGCCAAATTCTGCCAATCCTCCTCGGTGAAGCAAATGACCTGCCAGACGGTGCTGTTGCCGCCTAGGATCGTGTTGCCACCAGAGCCGGCGCCGCTACTGGAGAGCGCCGCAGCAGCAGCAGCTGACTTGCCCGAACCGGAAGCAGTGGCCGTTGTTGTCGCCTTATCCTCGCGATAGAGTCGCGTACCGTAGAAATACCAATATCCTGAATTTTTGGCGTCGTAGCCGAGCGGCTCAACGCGTAAACTGTCCGCCTCTAAGTTGCTTAGTATGACCTGCACATCGACAGAGTCCAGGCGAAAATGGCACAGATCGTGCAGAATTTGTAGACGCTTGCGCACCGGCAGCGATTGAAAGTCAATGTCCGTATCAAAGTGATTCTCTGTCTGATGCAGGCGACACTGTTGGCGCAGGAAACGGCGCAAAAACATCTGATAATTGCTGTGTGTTATCTCATTGGCTACCGACTGTAGCGCATCGCAGCCGGTCAGCAGGCGTACAATTAATTCGGGCACTAAGGCAACTTGATCCTCATCGCTGGTACCATCGGAGAGCAGCGCCGATTCGAGATCCTGCAAAAACACAGACTGCATATAATACAAATCAATGGAACGTGATTATAAAGAACAGACCTCTATATCAATGTCGGGCAAATCGAAGGCGGAACTAAACAATGAACAGAAATGCGAAATACACGGTATCTCCCACCATGATTGTATGTCTGAAGAAGAAAATCTGATTTATTAATAAATTCGATATATATTTTGGACAACTGCTTACCCAATAGGCCAATGAAAGTAGAAACCATTTATGTATGCTTTGTGTATTAGAAACTTGGCTCTCTGCAAGAATAAATTAAAACAATTCCTGGGCGTGTTGCTTGTTGCTTTCTGGTCGTTCCCAGTTGTTGCTTGTATACATTCGCTTGACAAACTCTGTGCAACAAGATGTAAAAGACAAAAATTAGTCTAAAATAGTTAACAGGAGAGCACAATCTGTGACCGGCAGCAATAAGACACTATTGATTCTGAGATGTCAAATATATATGTACTTTATGCGTTCGGTCATCCAAACCCTCTGCAGGGGTATAAGAACAACAAAACTCATGTACGCTATCTCAATGGCGGCAAAAATGTAAACGTGTGTGCAACATATGTGTGTGTGAGTGTTTCCGAGTGTGTTGTTATTGTCGAATTGTTTGAGATACACAAACAAACACGAGCTTATCAATTATCAAAAGCGCGCGCGAAGTAAATTGCAATACACGCACGCACACATACATTTACAGAGCACACCCACACTGTTGCCTTTGGCGAGAGTAAGAAAGTACACGCGCACCCCTTTCGCGCGCTTAATTTTAAGAAGAGAAAATCAAAACAGATGGCCAATAAACTAGCCCACAAACAAACGCGTTGCCTCCCGCATGGGCGGGAGTGGGACGGCTATATGCAGCCAGTGTTGCGTAGCGCTAGTTGTGCTATTCACTTTTTTCCACAGCACTGTTGATTTCTTGGCTGGTCGATGATTTCGTACCCCCGCCACCGCTGCGCCGTTATTTGGCCTGATGTCTGCACTTTTTTTCTTTTTATAATTAATATGCCATTTCTACGAACACACACGCACACACAGGCAGCACATTTGATAAATGTTTCAACAAATTAGGCGCGATTTTGGTGTATCTGATGCCACAGCAGCGCCCTTCGAGCATGCGCCGCCTGCGACAGTGTCTTGTTGCGATGCTCCGTTGCTGCCTCTGGCTGTGTGTATATATTTTTTCATTTGCGCTTTCCTTTTGCCGTAACAGTGAAGCACGCAATTGGTTGATGACAACTGCTTTGAAATTAATATTGAGTTACATTTTTCAGCAGTTGCATACACTTAAGGGGCTTAACTAGTGTGCGCTAACGTTTCGGTTTTTACTTAATTTGCCTTCTTTTCCACATATAAATATAATTAATGGAGGAATCAACCTTACCGAACGACAGAATTTAAGCAATGCGGCTCAAACTGTGAACAATGTTACAATAGAAGAGCCAATATTCCCCAAACTGTGGCACTGTTATGCTCTCCATAGGGCTGTTACATGGTATCGATATTAGTGATGTGATTTCGCATCGACTTATCGTTTCGAGCGTGATATTTTATTTTAATTTTTATAATATAAAAATTTAATGAAAAACTTTCTTACAGTGGTAATTTTGAACGAGTTTTCTTTGGCTTGCATAATTAATTCGTATTCAATCAAGTCTACTATTATACGCAAACGGCCTGCATTCACTGTTAGCTGAAGGAATTTGCTGTTAAATAAATTTGAATTCCTTTTATTTGCGAGCATCACTAAGTTCTTTCAATTTTCGCAAGGTGTCGCCACAATATTCATAATATCATCTAGCTGTTGTGCTGCAAATAACATGCAACACTGTGCAACGAATAACAACAACAAGTAACTTTTCGTTAAAAGTGCAACAAAAAGTGTTAGTTAACATACTCCATTAACAGCCCGGTCCGGTTCAAGATGGGGTATATTAAATGGCGTTTCTTTTTGCTTTCTTAAAATGCAAGGTCGGATTTTTTGTGCTTTGTTGGTAGTTTGTTTTTGTCAACTGTAAATTTAGACTCAAATATAAATATATTTTCAAAATTTAAATATATGGACCAAAGAAGTTGCTAATTTTTTTTTTTTTTTTTTCGATTTTTCGCTTTTTTTTTTTTTCGATATCAAATCGACATCAAAGTTGCAACTTGGTCAATTATCGATAATTCATTTAGTGCACAAGTTGCGGGCAATTTATACTCGATTCGTTGTGTTTGAAATTGAGCTGAAAACGCGCAGCAACGTAAAAAAAAGAAAATAGAAAATGCCTGCACGTGTAAATGCGGTCTTTTGTGGGCTCCTGCCCGCCTGCTGTTCATAATCGGGTGTAGTTGCTGTTTTATATTTTTGATTTTTTGTTTTGTTCTCATTGAGCTTACGAACTGCTCTTGCGCAAGGCAAACATACGCTGCTGCTGCTGTTGTTGTTGCTGTTGTTGTAGCTGATGCTGCTGCTGTCGACGCAGGCGCTGCTGTTGATCCAGTGGCTGCTGCTGTTGTTGAGCATTTTTTAAGTGTACATTTTTGGGCGATTTAGTTTTTGCTGTCGTCTGCTGCAGCTGCTGCTGTTGTTGTTGCTGCTGCTGTTTTTTGTTGTCCTTTCGCACCACTACGCCCGGATGCTCCATGCTGGGCCCCTTCTGGCGCTGATCCGCAGTCAGCAAAAATCCCGTTAACTTGCCATCCCATATAATCAGCCGTATGGGCACCACGGACAGCAACTGCAGCTTATATGGCGTCTGCTTCATGTTGCGCTCGGCGACCAGTATAAAATTGGGTGCATTGTGCGTATCGATGAGGACACGTTGCATCTTATAGTTAATGGCAATGACATGACCCGACTCCAGGGTAACCACATTCATCATGTGCTGGAAGATCTCCATGACAACGGCTCGCATGTAAATCACCTGCCGATTGCTCACATATCGCTTGAAGAACAAATTGCTGGAATCATCGCCCGCCTGTTTGGCATTATATTTACGCTCGTTGGCCACTTTGGTCAGATGATGCAGTTCATCCGGACTGCGCTCCGGTGCGGCGCAGTAGTTCAAGCCGGCGGCGAGCAGACTGCAAAAGGAAAGGCAGCAAGTGTGAGTTGGAATAGATATGTATGTATATATTGGAGTAATTCATACCGATGCACCATAACATCCGGATAACGTCGAATGGGACTGGTGAAGTGCGTATAGATGGGTATGGATAGGGCGTAATGCCAGAGATCCGACGGTTCCGTCTTGCCATCGCTGCAGAAGTAACTGTAAGCAAAGAGAGAGTAGGATAAATATAATTAACAAGTCAGAGAGCACGACCAACAGATACCCTGTACTCATCTCCCAACTGTCAAGATTTGTCTTATAATATAATGGATATGGATGCCCGAAGTGTATGTATATGCCTTAAGCTAAGGTTATAATTTACCACATGGGAGATGCTCTCAAAAACCGAAAATCTATATTTATCGATTTCGAAATAACATGGTTTATCGATCATTTAAAGTAAACTAAACTTGGTGCAATGGGATTAACTACGTTTCAAACTCAGAAAAAAAATATATAAAGTATGGATTCGGATAAGTCTCCTACTGTCCCCATATAACCATACAACCCCTTCTTGTGACCAATTTTCAGAGAGTACAGGGTATAACAAATTTAGGTATTCAACAACATACGTGGCGCGCGCCATGGGCTTCATCAGCAGCTGACTCAGGCAGGCGGACATGGCAATGGGATCGGCGGCCTCGCTGCACAACCGCTGCATGCTGGCCTGCAGGGCCTTCGAGGAGCTATAGTCCAGGTCGAAGCCCTGGGAGAGCAGCTTCTCACGCAACGATTTCAGGGATTTGGTCAGCGGCGGCGGATGATTGCGCAGCACAGCAATTTTGGGAAAGGCATCGTGTATGAACTTTGCCACCGCTTGATTGGCCAGCAGCATGAACTCCTCAATCATGTGATTCGCCTCGCGTTGCTTCTCCACCTCAAAGCCCATTGGCTCGCCGGTCAGCGGATCGAGGCTGAAGCGCACCTTGGCATTGTTAATGGTCAGGGCGCCATTGTCGAAACGTTTGCCGCGCATGTTGCACGCAATGCCATGCAGCCAGTTGACACGCTTCGTGATATCGTTGACCGTGAATCCGTTCAGGATGTTGGGAAAGTCGACGTCGGTAAAACGCTCGCGCGGATTGTCAATTATCTTCTGGGCATGCTCGTAGGCAAACTGTGTGCACGAATTCATGATGGAGCGCGTAAATTGGGGCTTGTCCAGCTGATTGCCATCGCCGTCCATACGCCAGAAAACGGAGAACGAAAACTTATCCTCTCCCGGCAGCAGTGAGCACCGGAAGCAGAGCGTCTGCGGCAGCATGTGAATCACTTCGTTGGCCAAATAAATTGATGTCGAGCGCTCCTTAACAATGTTGTCCAGCTCGCTGTTCTCCAGCAAATAGTGCGACACATCCGAGATGTGCACACCGACCTCGAACACATTCTCGCCCAGCTGCTCAATGGAGAGCGCATCGTCCAGATCGCGCGCCGTCAGGGGATCAATCGTGAAGATACAGCTCTTGCGCATATCCCGACGATTCACCAGATCCTTGGCAGTTACAGGCGGCGCTGATTGTGCGTACATCTCGTTGAAGCGCTCCTCGAAGGGCACCACATCCCGCAGACTGTTATGGAAGAGTATGGCCTTCAGTTCATCATCCAGATTGCCCACACGGCCAACGGGCTGCACCAGCTCCGCAATGCAATGGCCATTGCAATCCGTTTCGAGTATGTGCGCCAGATAGAGCAGACCGCACACCTCGTCCGGCTGCTTGTTGCCGATGTGTACCGCGCAGCTGGACTGCGGTATGTACACCATGGGCATGCGTAAATCGAATGGTCGAAATTTGTAAAAGAGCTCCTCGTCGCAGAGCTTGGTGGGATTCGTAAATGATATGTTGCCCACAATTTGTCGCAGTTCCGTTTGCTTCACAATGGCAATGACAAACGCTTTGGGGCAGTTGTCCGAGGCTATCACGGCCACATTGTCATCATCCGAGTCCTGCGATTCTGTCTCCTCCGAGAGCTCCTCATCCTCACCTGTAACGGGAATAGTATTAGCAGCTATCTAAGATGAGATGTTTTTTCCTAGCTGATGGTTGACTGATTGGTTATCTGATTGATTGGTTATCTGATTGACTGATTGATAAGGGATGATTGAGGGATAGACTTACTGATTGACTGACGGTTTGACTGACTGATGACTGATTGAATCACTAGATGGCATATTAATTTACTGACTCATAGCTAACTGATGATTGGAATGAAATATATGATTGAAAGACTGATTGTCTGACTGAAAGTGAATGGTTACTGACTGACTGATTGATTGGTTAACTGATTAAATGACGTGATTGACTGCCTGGATGGTTTATTGATTGACTGACTGACAGCTGCCTGGATGGCTTATTGATTGAGTGAGTGACTGACTCCCGACTGATTGATAAATTGATTGACTGATTGGCTTACTGCTCGACTGATTGAATGACTGGATGGCTTATTGACTGACTGACTGATTGATTGAATGACTGGATGGCTTGGTGATTGACTGACTGCTGTTAGGAATGAAATATACGAGCCAAGATCTGATTGACTGACTGATTAATGCATATTTTTCGAAAACGACCTTTCTAAAAATTCACTTGAGACACTTCACTACGCTCTCGAATTGTAGTATTTTAACCCAAGTTCAAAAAGTGGGATGAAATCTAATTGTAAGATTGATTGAGAAACACATTGGCCGGGCAAAGACGGTTAAAACGTGCCAGATCCCTTGACTTACCCAGAGAGAGTGAGGCCTTGCCGCCAATAATGCCGCCGGCTGCGGAATCCATTGCCTTGGTAACGACGGCGCCCACATTCAAGACAAAGGCGCGCACGGTGTCGCCCTCGAAAGCGTAACGTCGTGCCACTGGCAACAGAACGATGCCATCTCGCTCCAGTGCCTCGCGATCCGCGGACATGGTGATAAAGGCCTGGCGATTGTTCTTGCGATTCACGCGTATCTCCTCCTCGACAATGCGTCCGTAACCAGCCTGTACCAGGCGCCTGGCGTGCGACTCCAAGTCCCCAAAATCGCCCTTGAAGTTCAGATCCGCTGGCACCAGTTGCTCGGCGCCTACATGCTGCTGGACAATCTTGTTGATATATTGACGCATTGCCTCCAGCTCGGTCTTCAGGGAACGGGGCGTGTTCTTGTCGTTGCGCTTCTTGCGGTTGCGATTACGCCTGCGCGGCGATTGCCCGCCAGAGCTCTCCTGCTGCTGCTGCTGCAGTGTGGTTGCTGTGGCTGCACTGCTGCTGCTGGTGCTGGTGCTGGACAGATCGGAGTCGCGGCGTGTGCGCAGAATCTCGCCGACACGCTTTTGCGTCATGGGCTGGCCCTGAGCCGGCGGCTGTTGTGGCTGGGCCTGTCTGGGAGCGCGCATTATGCCGGAGAGTGTAGGCGGCAGCTGCTGCTGCTGCTGCGGGTGACCCGACGGATCCATGCCGCCATCAATGCGGCCGTGCTGCGGCACCGGCGGCATGCCGGACGCGGTGGTAAGCGCTCGCAGTGCAGGATTTACATAAGGTCTTGGCGGCCTGCAGACATTGGCCAGATTCAGCCACTCCAACTGGCCAAGCACCTCGCTCTGCTTGATGAGCTGCTGGGCATAGGCTCGCACATCCGGGTTGACAGTTATCAGCTTATAGACCAGATCCTTGAGGGCATCCACCTCGCCGTTAAGGGTTTGCCGTGACTTCCGTTTCTTCTTCAGCTCCTGCTGCGGCGGCTGCTGCTGTTGCTGCTGCTGCTGTTGTTGTTGCAGCTGCTGTTGCTGCAGATGCTGCTGCTGTTGCAGCTGCTGTTGTTGCATATGCTGCTGTTGCTGCAGATGCTGCTGCTGCTGCAGATGCGGCTGCTGCTGTTGAGGCGGCGCCGCGGCAGCTGTTGTTGCATTCAGCTGGGCGGCAAACTGCAGCTGCATGTGAACCGGCATAAAAGATTGCATGGGGTATGGATATGATGCCATGGGCATCGGCATGGATAAAGCGGCGGCAGGCAAATGGTGCTGCTGCTGCTGCTGATGTTGCTGCTGACGATGTTGGACAGTGGCGCTGACCGTGGCAGTGGCGGTGGCAGATGCTGTGGCAGCAGCATTTAGCACTGGCATTGAACGCTGCTGCGGCAGCGACTGCAACTGCAACTGCGACTGCGAGACATAGTTGCGCATAAATTGATTGGCCTTCTGCTCGATGATGGGATAGTCCGTGGTTGACGGCAATTTGCCCGACATCTCCTTTTGCGTTTGCTGCAGGCGCGTCGCCAGACGCTGCGAACGTTGGCGCAATAGCTCAATGGCATTGGGATAATCCGTTTCAGTATCATGTGGCATTTTGCGTATCGATGGTTGCAGCGGTGGACCCGTTACAGCACTTTCTAAGCTCCCTACGCTCGACGTTTTTGACATGTTTAAAACAGTTATTGTTGCTGCACCAAAACGGTTTTGTTAAAAAATACTTGTTTTTGTTTATCTTGCAGCGTATTTCATATGCTATGACAACAAACACATTCGATTGAGTAAAGTGGCCCGCCCACCGCATAGGGTGGCGCACGTGCTTTGCTCACTTTGCACAAAACGTCACAAATCTACAACTGTATATGGAAATAAGCTTCTAAGCAAACAATAACTGACAGTAAATTCCAAATGAGTGTTAATTGAGGTTTAGCATGGTTTGGAACAAGTAATGAAAATTTCGGACAAAATATGATGCAACATGTTATATTCTTTATTATTGTTTAACATTGACAATAAGTACAAAATATTTTATTGCATTTATGACGTCACGAGTTAACTCTCAGATCGGGCGTTAAGTGTGCGAAAACAGACAATCGCACTAAATATTGCGATGCTTATCGAATAACTAAGCACATGCGCTGGACTTATCGATATGCGTCATCGCAAGGCAATCATGTGTCAGTAGTGTTGTAAAACCTTCGCGCCATTTTTCTCGTATCTTTCACCTCTTGCGTTTTCCGTAGAAATTTGTTAATTTCTTTGTTTTCGAAATGGTTTTTTAATCTTTAACGAACGGAGAAATAAACAAACAGTGGTAAAGCGTGGCAGAATGCTTGCGTGAGCGCGTGCTCTTGTTTTGTGTGTGTGCTGCATATGTATGTGTGTGCGTGTGCAAGTATAAGAAAAGTCCAACCAAGGTACACAATTTATTGTTTATTTATGTATGTAGCTTGCTTCGCCCAGTTTGTTGCAATTTTATAAGTTTGGCTTTGTATTTGAATTGCTTGCTAATTGTACACGAACACACACAGAGTACCATCTACACACACATACACACACCACACTGACACACATACAGACCTTAAACTATGTACGAATGTAAAAAAAGAGAAGCGCCACAAAAATGACTGATGTAAATTGTTTTACAAGTGAGCATACAACAACAACAACAGCAATAGCAACTTTAACCACGCCCACAAAAAATGTGCTGGACCAATCGCCCACATCGCCGTTTATACTAAGAGCACCGCCCAGCGCCAAATCCAAATTAATTTTACAGAACATGGAGGAAGTGCTAAATACGGTAAAGCAAAAGCATCGCGAGAAGCACAAGCGAAAGCGCGAGGAGAAACGACGCGCTGCAATGCTGGCGGAAGCGGATACGGAACAAACAACAACAACAACCAACGGCCGCCACGTGCTGCGCGAGAAAACGTCGCGGGAGAATGGCATTGGCCACACCAAGCGCAAATCCCATGCAAGTCCCCTAAAGAGCAGCACTCCCCACGCCACAGAGCAGCAGTCATCCATTATGAAGCACTTTGCCAAGGCTGCAGCGCCAGCAAAATCAGCCACCAATGTGTTCGAGCTAATGATGAATGCGCGCAATCGTTCCATGGGCACCAATGCCAATGGCCAGGCAGCAGGGGAGCCTACCGAAGCGGAGGACACAACCACGCCGCCTCAGAGCAAACGCAAGCAGCTGCTGCAGGAGTGGAATGAACGCAAGGGCGGCGCCAAGCGTCGCCTGGCCGAGGAGGCACGTGAAGAGTACATTGAGCATCAAATGGAGCAGCGCGCCAAGCGGTAAGCTATCCTTAGGTCTTTAGCTTGAATCCATCGTTTAGCCCTTGTCTCAATTACAGCTTAAAGAAAATGCTGACGCAGCCGGCGGCACCGACTGAGCCGAAGGAGTCGAATGGCCAGGAAGCGCAGCCTGTCAAACGGTTGCGTGGACGTCCACGCACGCGGCGACCCAGTGCGGATGTGGTTGCGCAGCTGCCGGTTAGTCCTCCCAGCGTCGATACGGAGACTGTGCAGCTGCTGGCCAAGCTCTGCTCGCCCACCAAGAAGCGCGACAGTCTGCTGGGCTATTTTGCCAAGCTGGAGTCGCCACAAAATGCAGCCGAAGCCGCAAAGCAGGAAGTGGAAACGCTGGAGACGCCCAAGCGGCGGCCGCGTGCCAAGAAATCCATGTCCAATACGCCAGCAAACGTAGCAGAAACGATGTCAACAACTCCTTCGGGTCGACCGCGACGCTCGTGTGCGACAAAAGCGCGCTACGACTATGACCTGGAGCCGAGTCCCACCAAGGCGAAGCAAGCGACGGCTGCAGCTGATGAATCCATAGAGATAATTGATTTGGACACGAGCAATCCGGCGGCAACGCCCAAGAAGCTGGCGCCTCTGTTCGTGCGGCAACTGCCCAAGCCCAGTCCAGATCCGACAGTGTTGCGTGCACGCCAGGAATTCCTGCACTCCGGCGTACCAGAGAAGCTCAAGCAGGAGCAGCAGCGCCAGCGTTGCTATGAGCAATACTATGAGGAGAGCTACGAGCTGTTTCCGCGCATAGCACACGTGGGCGGCACGCGTCTGGAGGCGAGCCTCAGCGCGCCTCTGCAGCTGCGGGAGGAGAAGCAGCAGCAGCGGCAAGCGGCAATAGTACGTAAAACCAGCACGGGCAGCATAACCAGCTGCACTGCAGCGGATTTTGTGCCGAACAAGACGAAGAAGAGCGTGTCTAGTTGGACGCCGCTGCCGCAGCTGGACAATAAGCGCACGCTGGTCAAGAACTGGAAGAGCACCTTCGAACGGTTTCCCACCTTCAAGTGCTACAATCAAATGCGGGAAAAGTACAGACATTTCAGCGCCATAGACGCGGCGCAGGACACACAGCCCATGGGTGAATCTTTTGTGATGACACGGCGCACACGACGCTCGCTCGAACAGCAGCAGGAGCAGCAGCGTGAGCAGGCCGAGGAGCACTTCCGGCCACCGGCATTGGCGCCGAATGGCGAGCTGCTCTTCACGGAGAAGTACAAGCCGCTGCTGTTCGAGCAGGTGCTGGTCAATCTGACGCCCGTGCAAGAGCTGCGCGACTTTCTGGCCAATTGGCATGGTGCAGGCGCTGGCCAGCGCAACTCGCAAACGCTCGACGACAGCTCCTCCATGGACTTTGGCAACGATTCCAGCTCAATGGGCGCCAGCTGCAATACGATGGTGCTCCTGGGTCCCTGTTCCAGCGGCAAAACGAATGCCGTCTTCGCGTTGGCCAACGACATGAACTTCAATGTGCTGGAGATAAATGCGGGCATGCGACGGACGGGCAAAAAGTTGATACAGGAGCTGCAGGAGGCCACGCAGTCGCATCAGATACGCAAGGAGGCCAAGGCGGGCGGACAGCTGCTCCAAAAGCTGCAAATGAACGGCCTGAAAGCGAAGCGCAGCCAGGGCGACGACGATGTGCGCAAATCTCTCATATTGATCGAGGATGCGGACATTGTTTTCGATAATATCGATGCTGGCTTCACGGACGCCATCTACACGCTTGCCGCCAGCTCCAAGCGACCCGTCATCATTGTCGCCACCGATCCCAACTGCGCGCATTTGCAGCGTTTAATGCAACAGAATACGATTAAATTTCAGGCGCCGAATGCACTGAATATCTCACGTTTTCTGGCCGTGCTGTCGCTCATGGAGAACTGTCCCATTGAGCTGGACGAACTGATATCCCTCTATCTGTACAATCATCAGAATCTGCGCAAGACCCTCATGGAGCTGCAGTTCTTCATACAGAGCGGCGGCGATGGACAGCGTAGCCGCAGCAGCAGCTCCCAGCCCCCAGCTGCAAGCACCACCTCGCCCAGCAGGTCGCCGCGCCTGTCCACGCTGGCTGGCGTCCACATACATCAGCAGCTCTTCGAGTTCTATACAACGGCACAGAATGTGCGTCATTTTGTGCCGTTTCCCGTTGATTTTCGCCTGCTGCGCCTCAATCTGAACGAGCTGCTGCGCCATTCGACGCTGCTGCAGTCGCAGTCGCCGGGTGCGTCCGTGTCCAGGCGCAGCGCGAAACGCAAGTCGTGTTCACCAAAGAAGGCGTGGCTCAGCACAGCCACGCACACAAAGAGCGAACCGCTGCAAACGCTGGCCACCTTCTATGAGCATCTGTCGACGGCCTCTCTGCTCGATGCCGCGGGCCTGGAGCAGGCCAATGATCGACTGCAGCCACACGTGGCGGAGCAGCTGGCGCACACGTTGGTCGAGTGTGCGGTCAGCACGTGTCTGGCATCCAAAAACTATGCCTACAATCTGTTTGACAAGCCGAAGCAGCGGTGAGTACCGAGCAAATCCCTAATTACACTATGCTACACAGCTGGGATAAAATTGCTTGCTGCGAATGTATGTAAGCAGGCTGAAGGAGGCAGCTCCGACCTGATCTTGATTTAAAGTATATAATTATATATATACTCTCTTATACCTTCGCCGAACCCATATAGTACATATATATTCTTGAGCATGCTCGATCTAATCATGTCCGTCTGCTTAAATGCGTCGATCTACAAGAGCTAGAGAGAATATAGATAATAAACTTTTTTATGCCTTAATCAAAACTTTATGAGTCCAAGACCTACCAAGCTTGGTTTTTAGCTGCTCGCAAAGTATATATCAATTAAAAATAATTCACTTCTTGGATACCTCGCCCGTTCCACTCATAATTGTTTTAACAAAACATTTTTAAAGCTAGAACCTTGGGCTTTGGTATATAAAAACTTTTATATGCCTTATAAAAGCCCTGAAGATCTGATAAAGATCGGACTGTAAACGCCGAATTTACAACGCGCGAGTGTTGGAATAAGGAAGAGGCAGCTAATCTTTTTTTTTTATTAATTTGCTAAAAAGTTAACATTTTTGTTACTAAAAAAATTTCCCATGCCCCTCTTCAACCACAATTCAAAAGTGAAAAGTGTATGTGACATATTTTTTTTTTTATATTATTTTCTACTTTTGGAGGCCCCAAAATCTACCCAAAACAAAGTAAGGTTGCAGTCTGAACGCATTTCGATCATTTTATTTAAATAAATTCTCATGCCTTTTCAGTCTTAATCTGGTGGATCAATTGGGGAGCAGTTGTCGGAGCAGCTGTGCCCGCGCCCTGGACTATGAGCCGGCCATGCGGGCGATTTGTCGCAGCGAGAAGCAGCGCGCCGGATTGGAGCGTCGATCGAGTCGTTTCTATCACTATTTGCGGAATCATGCGGTGAACGGTGTGACCAGCTTTTCGACGGATCTATATGAGGCCGCCTGCCAGGTGCTGCAGGAGGAGGAGCAGCCGCCCCAAGATGTAGTCGAATAATAGTGCAAATTCTATAATGGGAGGCGAGAATTGGAGTTCATTCGGTGACACGCCCCTGCGCCCGCCCCCCACAGCAAAAAGTGGCAAAATGGAAAATTTATTCACATTGCGTTACGCAACAAAACGTTGATCTTCTTCTTATTCTAGACGATATTAGTTAATGACTATATGGGCGCCGCGAAAAGTGGCTGCGCCTTTGCTTCAGTTCTAGACAACTACAATAATTATACACTAAACGACCTGAGCTATGTTAATAAACAAAACGAAAACAACAACAAATTAACACAATAGGAAGGAAAACGGATGCCCTTGGAAACTGCGCTCAGCAGCAGCACAGGAAACCGCTCGATTTCTCCGCCTGCTGCGGCTGCTTTGTCTGTCCCAGCTCTGCGGATTTGTTGGCCGTCTGCGGCTTTGGCTGTGCATCGATGGCAACTTCGCCGATTTTGTACTGTTTCAGCTGCTGGACCGCGTCCGGCGAGTGTCCGGCATTGTTGAACGCCTTGGTCGCATCCTTGCCGGCCACCTCCAGTATGAGCTCCGGGCCGCCGGGATGATCCTTAGTAAATTTGGTCACATCGTACACGTTGCCTTTGTAGATCATCCAAACGGGCTGGCCGTTTTTGCCATTGCGTTCCGCAACCTCCGATTTCTGATAGATCTGTGACATGTTCGCTTCGATTTATGGATGCTTCGTACGACTGGAGTACTATCTATATTTTTTTGTGTTGCGATAAGCGTTTGTCTGTTTTTAATTGCCAAATGGGTTATTTATGTTCGATGATGACAAACTGCCGAAAAAGCCGGGGGTGAACTAGTCCTCGATGTGTTACTCCATGTACTTCGCTCAGACAAATGAGTATCGCTTAGTGTATTTATTATATTTATGAATGTATTTATGAGCCCGAAGGGGCAAACGTTTATGGCGGGAGTAGCCCCGTGCGAAACGATAAGAAATACGTGAGTATTTCATGTCGGCCAGACCTAATACCAATTTTGCGTGTCACAACTTGAGCAATATCGAGTGCTTTATGAGTTGCCACAATTCATTAATACGATTCTAAGCAAACGGAAATAGTATAAAGCGAGCATGTTTAACAGTCTTAGATCCCAGCGATCGCTCATATCTATCTATATATATATATGGTATATATGCTTTCACTGCTTGGCAAATGCTGAGCAGATTAGATGACGATGATGACTGGTTAAATTTTGTACGCATTTGATAAGATTTAAACAAAATAGATTAATGCCAAATTTTCGATCATTTTTGTATGTTTGTCTATCTTATCTTTTGCTTAAAGTGCTTGAGAATTACAAACAAATCAGGTTACTGCTTGGCGCTTTGTTTAATTTAAGAAAATGTCTTACAATGTTGCATTTGCTCAGCAAATATAGCTTAAACTGAGAGATCTATAAAGCAATCGTTGCTTAAACTGCTTGAGAATTACAAGCATAACAAAAGCAATTGTCTGCGGATTATAAGTTATTGTTCTTGTGGTTTATTGATATTATTTATTAATATTAACAAGCTGTATACAATATCATATTGATTTGTTAACAAGTTTCTTGTCAATAGGTTTTAAATATTCAATCACAGACATCTTAAATGGTTTATCATCTGCAACTGCTTGTGCTCACAATGTGCGCTGCTTACGGCTTGTTCTGAAGATTAAGTTAACTGCTTGCTTATTCTGCAGTTTTTCGAGATTTTTGTAAGTAGTTACAGAATTAGAAAACGTTTTATAGCTCAACGACCGAAGAAACAAAGTTCGCATATCAAGAAATTTTGGAGATCGTAAAAACGTTGTTAACTGCTTGAGTAGCTGTCATAGTCTAAATGTAGTCTTTATAGCTGATTGTCTATAATACTTATAAAACAAAATAATATTTATTTATTAACAAAATCAAATTTTGAACTGTGGACTCTTGTTTTTATGGCTATACTACTGCGTGCACTGCTTATTCTTACGATCATCGCTGTCTGCACTGCCAACCGATTTTCATGAGGCTGGGATTTTTCTCCATGGTTTTCCCTCTAAAATAATCTGACATTTAAATCTGACTTCATATTTTTTAGTCGAAATTCATGTCAAAATCTTACCCTGAAGATTCGGGTTTAGACATGGATCAAAATTTCCCAACCCCATAACTCGGTCAAAACTCAACCGATTTTCATGAGGCTGGGCTTTTTCTCCATGGTTTTCCCTCTAAAATAATCTGGCATTTAAATTTGGTTACATATTTTTTAGTCGAAATTCATGTCAAAATCTTACTCTTAAGATTCGTATATAGACATGGGTTCAAAATTTCCCAACCCCATAACTCGGTCAAAACTCAACCGATTTTCATGAGGCTGGGCTTTTTCTTCATGATTTTCCCTCTAAAATAATCTAGCATTTAAATCTGACTTCATATTTTTTAGTCGAAATTCATGTCAAAATCTTACCCTGAAGATTCGGGTTTAGACATTGGTCACAATTTCCCAACCCCATAACTCGGTCAAAACTCAACCGATTTTTATGAGGCTGGGCTTTTTCTTCATGATTTTCCCTCTTAAATAATCTGGCATTTAAATCTGACTTCATATTTTTTAGTCGAAATTCATGTCAAAATCTTACCCTGAAGATTCGGGTTTAGACATTGGTCACAATTTCCCAACCCCATAACTCGGTCAAAACTCAACCAATTTTCATGAGCCTGGGCTTTTTCTCAATGGTTTTCCCTCTAAAATAATCTGGCATTTAAATTTGGTTACATATTTTTTAGTCGAAATTCATGTCAAAATCTTACTCTTAAGATTCGTATATAGACATGGGTCAAAACCCCAACTCGGTCAAAACTCAACCGATTTTCATGAGGCTGAGCTTTTTCTCCATAGTTTTCCCTCTAAAATAATCTGGCATTTAAATTTGGTTACATATTTTTTAGTCGAAATTCATGATAAAATCTTACTCTTAAGATTCGTATATAGACATGGGTTCAAAATTTCCCAACCCCATAACTCGGTCAAAACTCAACCGATTTTTATGAGGCTGGGCTTTTTCTTCATGATTTTCCCTCTAAAATAATCTGGCATTTAAATCTGACTTCATATTTTTTAGTCGAAATTCATGTCATAATCTGACCCTTGAGATTCGTATATAGACATGAGTCAAAATTTCCCATTCACATAACTCGATCAAAACTCAACCGATTTTCTTGACTCTGGGCTTTTTCTTTATAGTTTTCCCTATTAAATAATCTGGCATTTAAATCTTGTTACATTTTTTTGAGTCGAAATTCATGTCATAATCTTACCTTTAAGATTCGTGTTTAGACATGGGTCAAAATTTCCCATTCGCATAACTCGGTGAAAAATCATCCGATTTTGGATTGGCCTCTAGATCAATTTGGCATCTAAATCTTAAGATCGTTCTTATAGCGGTTACCACTACTTTATCTACGTTATCTACTTAGCTGCTCTTGCTTTTGCTATTAACACTGCATTACAATCTTACTTTCATTATATGAGTGATTGGCAGTTGCTATAAAATAATCCAATTATATATAATATTGAAAATCGTTTTTATGGCGGCTAATTTTTATACGGCTCTTTCAAGCCGTAGCTGCTTATTACGGTAAGATTCTGGTACTGCTTGCTTTGATTTTGTTCAAATTTCTGGAACTGCTTCTCATGCAGCTTTTTCCACCGACCACTGCTTGTTATTATGGTAAGATGCTAGGACCGCTTACCTGATTTTATAGCAAATTTTTGATTTATTGAACTGCTTCGTTATAGCCATACTGCTTGTTATTGTAAGCTGCATGAACTGCTTACTTCGATTTTATAGCTAATTGTTGGGTGGCTTAAACTGCTTATCATGCAGTTCTTTCCAGACAAAGCTGCATAAGCTGTTCGAACTGCTTACATCGATTTTATAGTAATTGCCGACAGCTTGAACTGCTTCTCACGGAATTCTTCTCAGCCTTAACTGCTCGCTATTATGTTAAACTGCTTGAAGTGCTATAAAACTCAAAACTTCTCAAGTGTCGCTAGTCAAGTGCCCAGCACTGTGCCGCCCGCTGCGCTTGAAAACGAAAGTTTAGATACGACTCGTGGATTTGTTCTTTTGTTAGATTTCAATGTTATATATATTCATGAGACAACAACAATAATGAGTAATAATTTTAATATAGTATTATGTATTTCGCTTTTTATATGCTATGTATGCATTTTTCTGCTTGCTTTTGCTTTTATTTTAATGCCCGTTTGTTTTTTAAAAATTTCGCTAGTATTTAGTTGAACTCTTTCGCTTTGCAATGTTACGAGTATTTCTTTTTTTTTTTCGGCTCCTGTTTTTGTTTTCTTTAAATATTTTTCGGGTTTCATCACATGAAAAAGATGAAAGAAATAAATTTGAACTGAAATCAAATTTCAACTGTGATTTTGGGGCCCGTTCTTATTGTTGTTTGTTTTTTTTTTTTGTTTTAAAGAGTTTTGATTTGCTTAAGTTAAATTAAATTTAAATTTTGCGCCCATTCCCAAACCCAGCTAAATGTTATTTATTTACATTATAGAAATATCAGTCAATGGCATCGAGTGCTACTTAAATGGCTCGTAGGACTTGCCTAACTGCTTAGTTAGTATCATTTATATAAACATAATTATCTAGTTAATTATGCCGCTATTATGTGCTATGCTTTAATGGATCGTAAGTATTGAAACCATTCAATGTTTATACGAGTAACGAGTAATTCGGGCTCTATTCGTATCATTTCGCACATTTGCTTATCATTTGGAAGTTGACATCAAAACTATGTTATGTGTATATTGCATTTTGTATATATAATATATACTTTACTTATGTATATACTATAATTATTTTTGTTTTTTTTTTTTTTTTTATATAGATAATGCCGCTAGTTTGAGTGCTTTGATTGGAATTGCTGGTACTGCATCTAGATTGATTAATTATGTTCTCGGGCCTGTTCTAGATATCGATTCCATTTGAAAACTCAATTTCGAGTACATTTCGAGGCGTGTTCGGTATCGAATCGAATTCGAAGTGTTTTTATTGCTACTCAATACCAATTGTCAGCTTCAACACTTTCGAACACTTTAAAATTTGATCGCTATCGAAATGTATATCGAATAATTGATCGTTATCGAGAACAGGCCCGTTTGCTCATACATACGTACTTACATACAGCTTTCGCTCTCTCTCCCTCTCCCTCTCTCTTTCTCTCTCTCCCTATACATACCCACATATTGTTCGTCTAGGACCAAAGGCAAAAAAATATACATATACATATATATATATATATATATACTTATATATACAATGTGTGGTTACATCTTTTTTTTTGTTTTTTTCTGTCAGTTTCCTTGAGCTCCCAGCTCTTTGCTCAGTACGTTATTTATTTATTTTGGAATATCATATTTTTTCCCGAATATATGAAGTAACGACGCCGAAAATATGCATGCTAGAAAACTCTATATAATATTCTAATAATAATAAAAAATTTAAGTTTTTTATAGTTTTTTTTTTTTTTTTGCTTTTCAAACGGTCTTTTATATTTCTGCAATTGTTTGCAATTTTGAGATTTGTGCTTAGAATTTACATTGCTGTGTACAAACGTATTATGTACATACATATATATTATATATATATATATATCAGTTATATATATATATCTCATAATTATTATTATTATTACATTTTAACTTATAGCGTTAATTTTATTATCGATTTATTTGCGCTATTTGGCTAAACTAAATAAAAAATATACACCTGCACTTGCTGACGACCTAACCCCAAAAAGAATCCCCAACTTTCCACTGCCACGCCCCCCCCCCCCCCTCTAACATGCATTCTATATACGGGGGGAGGGGGAACTGTGCTTCTCTACAAAAAAATCGAAGGGCTTACGGTGCTTGAACACATAATACGGCAAGGGGAATTCAATTTAATTCAATTTTCAAACAATAATTCAAATTTCGCTAAGATTTTCCATTTCGTTCAATTTTCCATTTTTCCATACACCTCGCTTTTAACTATATACAAATTTAACTGGTTAATACAAATATTAGATATATATGCATATATATATATATATATTTTAATAGATATATATCAATTTGAATTGAACTAAAAAAAAGTTGCGTGTGTTCCAGCACATTGGGGCCATCATACAAATACAATATATAACTATATATATATGTCTATATAGAAGTGTGTTTATATAATCATAGGTTGGCTGATTGATTTGGTGGTGGGTAGATAGAGTATAGATAGAATTTGTTTGCTTTCTTTCTCTGTGTGTGTGTTAAAAACTATATAGTTATATATTCAAACTAAAACAAAATACAATATGTACCGTTATGTTCTCTATATATGTGTATTATCTGTCTCAATTTTTTGTTTTTCTTTCTTTTTTTTATGTATAAATATTTTAGCATGCGACAATGGAAATGATCTCTCCAACCGAGTCCTTAGTACAAAACTAAATTGTGTCTGTGTCTCTGCGTGTGTGTGTGTGTGTGTGTGGGGTGTGTGTGGGGTGTGTGTGTGTGTGTGTAGTGTGTGTGTCTCCTCTCATCGTTTACAAATTAAATTCTGACTAATAAACAGTCTTTTCGTGCCAGCGCGAAGTTCTTGGACAGATCGTGTACGAATCTGTTACGGCTCCAACATGGAATTATTGCGTCGTCTCATCCTGCTGCTCCTGCTCGGCAAGGCTCCCCGTCGCCGTCGCCGGCGCCGCCGCCGCTGTGCTGCCAAAGCTGCAGGCGGTGCTCTTAAGTGTCGCCGCATTGGCAATGGGCAGGGCGGTCAACGGTGCCGCTGCCAGCGATGAGGCCGATGAGGATGGTGAGACACAGGCGGGCATGCCCGCGGACGAGGCCAGCGATGAGGCCGACGATGACATGGACGCTGATGACGCTAACGATGAGCTGCCCATTGTTGTGGGCGTGGCAACAATAACTGCCGTTGCCCCAGCCCCTGATGCTGCTGCTGCTGCTGCACCCGAGCCCGTCGCCAGCGACGTGGGCGACTTGGGCGAACTGATGCGTGAGAAGAACTTTGTGATGGCATTCGGTTTTGATTTTGTTGCGGCAGCTGCTGCCAGCGCATAAGCGGCAGGTGAGGTGGCTGAATTGGAGGCAGCAGCAGCAGCGGCGGCGGCGGCAGCAGCGCAGCTATTAGCTGCTGCCAGGCGATAACTGGCGTTGGCGGCGCATATCTGTTCGGGCACATCGCGTACGGTTTTGTTGGGCGGCGGCTTTGTATAGGAGCGTGTGATTTCCGATTGCTGTATGAAGAGAGAGAGAGAGAGATTGGCATAAGATATTGAGCGTGTCTGGGTGGGAGGGAGAGTAGAGATCTCACCTGGTAGCTGCTGCGTATTTGCAGATGACGATCCTGTCCGTACTCGCTGTCCGGCAGTGGTACATGATGTGGGCAGCGCGGCGTCCTCTGCTGCTGCAGCTGATATTGGTAATGTTGATGATGATCGGCACTGTGGCTGTTCAGCGAGCTGCACGAGGATGTCGATGTGCACGATGTGCTGCTCAGATCGCTCTTAAAGCTCCCGCTGCCCGTGTTGCCGTACTTCAACGTGGTTGCCTCAATGCCACCGCGTGCCACAAAATTGTTAATACTATGCGTGTTGTTGTTGTTGTTATTATTGTTGCCGCTGCCGCTGGGCGGAGTTGTCATGCGTTGTTGTTGCTGCTGCTGTTGGTACAGATAATGTTGTTGCTGTTGTTGTTGTTGTAGTTGATGGTGGGAATGTTGTTGCTTATTGTTGTGATGTTGTTGCTGCTGCTGCTGCTGCTGCTGATTGTTGCTGCTGTTGTTACGAATCACAGTTTCGCCATGCACGGCCAGCAGCTCACGTGCTTGGAGCGCATCAACGCGCATTCTACATCTAAATTGATCCCTGTTTAAAAGAATAGACAACTTTATTAGACTACTATTAAGTATTACCAGGCATTGCCCGGCACATATTCGTTTTCTGCATACATAAAAGAACTATAAATGCAATTGCTGCTGGCTTTGAGCCGGCGACTGTCCTCTATACATTCTTTTACATATTTAGGACAGGTCTTGGTTAGCTGCTTACCTGTCATCGGGTGGTGTGCTCAATGATGTGCGGGTCGGAACGCCAAGCCGCTCCATTCCCGCGCAGCCGGCCGTCTGTACCGATAGCATCTGCAAGCAAAGAATATAGAAATTGACATTAGCACAAGGCTTTCTCCATATTTACAATGTGTTTTATAGTATTCTAACTTTAATTGAGGCTTCTGTCGGGGGATCTAGTAGTACTGCCTGTCCTGGCACTGCGCCACCTCGTCGACGGTTTGAAAGCGCGGCGTTAGCAGCCAGCTCTTGAGCACCAGAGGATTGCTCTGTACGCCATCCGGTGTGCTCTTAAAGAACTCAATATCGATGCGCATTTGATGAAAGTTTGGCTTGGGCTTGAAAACTAGGTGACCCGTATAATTGAATTTCTGGCGCATGATAAAGGGCTGCTCCACAAAGAGCAGGGTTTGATGCCACAAGGATTTGAGGGGCGAGTTGAGGCAAGGATTGCAGCTCAGCTTGTGGGGCTGATGGGCGCGACTGAAGGCCACATCAAAGTAGAGCACAAAGCACTCGAAATACCCTTCCTGCTGCACCCGCAATTGTATGTCCCGATCTATGCGCAAATCCTCTACACGGGCTGTGCGCAAATCCAAGCTGAGCACCTGATGCGCCAGCGTCAGCAGCCGTTCGCCTTTGGTCCGGACAAAGCGCGGCTCGGCCAGCGCATAACGTCGCATCGCATTCATATTGAAGCCATAAACGTCGAGCCACCAATTGCAGCGCTCGTTCTTGAGCCGCTGCTCCGCACCGCCCAGCAGATAAAGGGCCGCCAGATCGGGCAGGATGAAGCCGTTCGGCTTGAGCCAGCGATCGCGCGCCTCGAGCAGCTCCAACAGCTCCGATTCGTAGAGCAGGCACTGGCCCATCCAGTTGCACATGATGCCATCGACGCGCTGCGGCAGCTCCACATTGGCCACGCGTCCGTGCAGCACGGTTATAATGTGCTCCCACTTATTGGCACGCACCACCAGCCGCGCATAGTCCGTCACCTGGGAGTGATCCAGCGCGTAAACACGTGCGGCGCCCGCCCGAGCTGCCATCAGCGCCAGCGTGCCCGTGCCGCAGCTCAGGACCAGTATTGTGCGTCCTTCGAACAGATGGCGATTCTCCTCGATGGCCAATTGAAAGAAATGCATGTGCTGTTGCTCCTTCTGCCGGCTGCGCATATTCTCCAGATGCGCGGCAAAATCGTGTCGAAAATCGGCGGATGTCATGCGGTCCACCGTTTCCAGCTCATGCGGCACACAGCGCGGAGGCGTCGGTATGCGCGGACAGGAACGGACGCGACCGGAACCACGGCCACGTCCGCGCCGACTGTCGAAGTTGGTGTCAGCTGTCGGCGTTGTTGGGCGGCTCAAAATTTGTATTTGGGGCGTGGCAGCAAATGTGACGACGCGTTCCGCAGGCGATTTGGCTGAGCCATTGACCAAACCAGGAATTTTCTCTGGCGCACCGTCGCTGCCTTTGTTCGAGGCATTAACTATAGCTGGCGCTGCAACTGGAATAGGAGCTGGAGCTGGAGCTGGAGCTGGCGTTGGCGCTTTGGCCTTGCTCTCACGCACTTTGGCCTGCTCTCGCTCGAGAAAAGTGTGAAAGTCGCTTAGGGTAAATGTTTTCTGCTTTTTGCGACGGCTGTCATCGTTGCTGGCACGTGCTGGGCTATTTTTTACATGATGGGACATTGTTTTTATGCATGCGTATAATACTTTTAAGTTTAAACAGACCCAACAATTACTTATTAGAGACGCGCAACAGTGAGAGACGGCAGATCGCGAGCTCAGAGCTGCTCTCTTGGCGCCAAGAATGTGAATGGTCTTCAATATAATCGATATAAGCAAGGTTGCCACTATTTTGCAACAGATATTAAGTACCTTAAGAACAGTACCATATATCCCAAAGGGAACGTCTTTAAAGGCACACAACACATAGGGGTACAAATTGTACCAATTTCGTAGCAACCTTGTACCATTTTGGTACACACGTAAAAAACGTGGTGGCAACGCCATCGCTCTTATTGGCTAGACAAATTAATCGAACCAGCTTAAGAAGTATCGGAGTTGTGCGTGCTTGTTACAAAATTAACAAAGTTTGTTAATTAAATATAAGGCGGTTTATTTTGTGTATCTAACGTTTTGTGTGTTTATATCTATGTGTGGCACGTGCCCTACGCACATAGTTCGCAAAATCAAACCAGTAGCTTGCGCCTTTGTGAGTTTTGTGCAAAAAGAATGAAATTTGGCCGAGTAACGGTACTGATCAAGCATCCAATATATACAAGCATACATACATCCATAAACGCGTGTGTATGTATGTAAATTTATGAAGATTGCATATTGAACGTGTCGTTGCCGCTGACATAATTCCGTGTGTCCCACATTATTTTGTGGGGCTGCTGCCCCGCCCCCGTGTGCACCTGGCGATTGATGTGTTCAAGTGAGCGTGACAAATGACAAATCTAGCAAATAATTTTTTTTTGTGTTTTTGGCCGCCAGACGTTGTTGCTTTCCAACCCTCCCATTTAAATTAAACAAAATATGCTGGCAAATTTGCGAATTGTTATAAATGCACAGCCATGAATGAACATTCATACATATGTATTTATGTATGTGTGTAGGTAATTGGTGTTACATTGTCTTGATCTAAATTGTGTGTGAATGGCAATAAACATTCGCTGCGAACTACTTGTATTCGTTCTTTAGGCAAACGATCAAACGGTAAATCTTACGAATGGCTGCAAAAAGTGATATACGAAAAAATTAAAGAAAAAATGTAATTTTGTGCGCGTGTGTTTTAAAATCTAATTATTCTATTCGTCGCCGCGTGTGAAAGTGTGCGTGTGTATGCGTGCAACATATAACGGTAATAATGAAATCTGCGCCGCGTCGTCTGTCGAAACGCACATATTTAATAACCAAATTGAATTATTCATTGGCTAACGGCGGCAAATAAAATTCGATTAAAATGCGAGTTACGCGTCGACGTCGACGGCAACAGCAACGGCAGCAACAAACGCCGCCTTGGGTTATTAGCGGCAATTGTGTTTCTTATTGCGTTGGCTGCGCCGGCAGCGCCAGTTACGACGCCCACGCAACGCTTTCGTCTTCGTCTCTGTTCTAAATGCCAAGTCACGCATGCACATGTGTGTGTGCGTGTGAGTGTCAGTAGTGTGTGAGTATGTGTACGTCTGCTGATGCTTAGAAGATAGGCAGAAATTGTGATGAAGGCGCTGCTAAAACAAAGCAAATTCACAATAGGGCATATGCACGTGTGTGTGTGTATGTGTATGCTTTCCCATGCTGTTTGTCAACGACAATGCGAATTCACACACACACACACACACATGCAATATGTATGTGGGCTTGTAATAAATAATGAAGCATGTTTCGAGTTGTCAACGCAGCGAGCAACAATTTGTCAAAACTCTTCGCCATCTTCGTTCTTTGTTTCTACTGTGTTGTAAATGTGAAGAGAAGGGTATATTAAGGGTACATTAAGAAGACCCTGCCACACACTTGCAGCTGTCACTGTTTTAGGAGTCACAATTTATAAATCAGGTAGAATCAAAGATTACGGTTACAACTTATATAATTGTCACTGTTTTTGGAGTCACAGTTTAAGAATCTAGAATTACAGTTTTAGACATATTGCCACTGTCTAAGAGTTACAGTTTGAGAGTCATTTACTCCACAATATGAACTCCCATCCACACATTTGAAGGTGTCACTGTTTTGGGAGTCACAGTTTAAGAATCATTAGAATCACAGTTTACAGTTACAGCTAATGTAGTTGTCACTGTTTTGGGATTCACAGTTGAAGAATCACTGGTCTTCACTGTTTTACACTTCACACAGGGTATCACGCAGTCGATTGCAGCCCATTGCAACTTCTGTTTAATTGTATTACCGCTGCTTGGTGGCTTGGCCGGCGGCATTGCTTTGGTCTTTGCGGTAATGATGTAGCCCAAGATGTGGGGGCGACTGTTGGCAAGGTTTAACCATATGTAAAGTCTTAAAGTCGAAGCTGGCTGGCATTCAACTTGGCCAAGCTTAAAGTAGGTGCAGTTGTCAGGCTTTCGTATTCAATTTAAAATATAGATATTTTCAAATAAATTCAATTTACTTTCATCATAATAAAGACATAACGCAAATGGCGAAACGAATTTGGCCAATGATCAAACAAATTGAAGGCAATAATATAGGCAAAAATGAAGAAGTCTTCCCTCCAGATGTGCCATGCATCCGGCAAATACTTTGCACAATAATGGGCCAGACACGGGCACGTTCCATGTTGTCTCGACATTGCATAACATGGATAACAAGTACGAAAGTGCTCTAGGACAGAGTAGAAGATACTCTGATACCCTGTATTGAGTTTCTTAGACGCATATCGAAATATACACGCACACGCGAACTTTAAACTTTGAGCTTAGCTTCCATTTATGAAAATCGCAGAGAAAGCCAATATTTGGGGGAGTGGGAGAAAGAGAGTGCGAAGGATTGAGGCAAAGGAGAAAGAGAGAGGTTCTTCGTTAGAGAATGAAAAGAGGTCGATAGGGATTGAGTAAAAAGGAGAAAGAGAGAGAGTAAGAAGGAGAGAAAAAGCCTGATAGCAGGTTATGAGAGAGAGTCAGCATAAATGGAAGAGAAGATATATTCCTTCCGACGGTTAGATAAATCAGACAAATATTTTTCAATTTTATTTCCATATGCCTTACTTCACGAAACCAGAGAGTTTTTATGCCTCATAGAAAGGCACATTTCGATTGCACAACTGTTATACCCCTCACTATACATTTCTGATGGGTATAGGATATAAAAAGCAACGTGAAGAACGCAAAAGGCAAAAGCCAATAGCAGCAGCAGGCAAACCAAATTTCCTACAGTTGTTATATAAGCCCGACGGACGAGGCACGTCGCACGTCGCACGACGCACGACTCGGAGCTGTTGCTTCAAGGACTTTGCCACCCCAAGACGCCCAACCAGCGGCTACTATGAATAGTCGTCTGTCTGTGCTGCGGGTTTTCGCAGTTTTCTTTTACTTTTTGTGCAAAAGGCAAAATGCAGAAGGAAGAACGGCGCAAAGCGAAAGCGAGCAAAACTTTTGACACGTGTCGTCGGCGGCTTCTTCTTCGTTTTGTCTTTTGCCTCTTGCGTGTTGCATGCCACTCCCCACTCGCTCTCCCTCTCGCTCTTCTTTTCGCTTTTGATTGGAATATGCCACCCACATTTTGGTACTCTACTTACGGGTACAGAATGTTCCGGCTCGGTTGACAAAAGTGTTGCTGTTGTTGTTGTTGCTGCTGCTGGCGCTGCTGCTTCTGCTGCTGTTGGTGCTGGTGTTGTTGTTGCTGCTGCCGCTGAATTCGCTTGTGCTGCTGCTGCTGCTGCTGCTGTCTGCGTCAGTGGAAGGGCCAGAGCAAAGGCAGTCTCGTTGCCCGTCGCACTTTTATGCCCAATATTACGACCACAGCCGCCGTTGTTGCTGCTGCTGCTGTTGCTGTTGCTGCGCCGTCGCTGCGACGCGCGTTGTTTGTGCCGTATACGGTGCGTTGTTGTTGCCGCTGCTGACGCCGCTGCCGTGGAGCTGCTGCTGCGTCGCAGTGTAATCACAGTGACCAGCACGCTGCCACACACTAAACACACGGCTACACCAATGGCGATCAACAGAACGTTGCCTGAAATTAAATAAAAGCAACAAAAGTGGTAAGTATTATGAAATAATATCAAAAAACATGTATTTCTTTATTAGTTATTCTTTCTTTTGGGAGTTCGAACCCTTCAAACTACCTTGGACAGCATTGTAGTTTTTAAAATAAGCAAATCAAAGGCATAATTATTCTAAACTACCATTTGGGCATTAAAAAATTGAAAATAATTGTCGGGTTTGAACTGGCTTGCCACCTGCTTGCCAGTTCGACTTTCAGATCTAGGCCAATAACTTCATAATTGTAACAGTGACTTTATAATTATTCTAAAATACCAATAATTCATAAGAAAAGTGAAAATGATTGCGGGGTTTGAACCGGCGACTACCTGCTTGCCAGTTCGACGTTTTCACATCTAAGCCATGCACTCACAATAACTTGATAATTATTGTAAAGTACCATTCATTTATAACAAACTTGAAAATTATTGTTGAGTTTGAGCCGGCGACCACCTGCTTGCCAGTTCGACGTTTACACATCCAAGCCATGCACTAGACTCTGTCTTTGCTCAGGCGGTTCAGATAGTATTTAATTGTGTGTATACGCCCAAAATTTTGACTCCACTTTAGTTCAGGTGCATTCTCACCACAAAGAGTCATAAGTCACAGCAAATTTTGAATTTCTAAGCTAAAAACTAGGCAGATACGCCCACACACACACATCGACACTCATGCAGAATATAAACAAACAGACCGTTACGAAATGTTTTGAAAATTATAAATAAATGCTAAAAATACTGCAAAAATACTCGCCAAATACTGATGCGGCACTAAATGAAACAATGAAAGAGCAACAATAGCAAACGCAATGCTTTCCATTGTATCAGCTAAAAATACAGACATAAATGTCTAGATATAGAGTACAAACATACATACACACACACATACATATGTATACACATATATATGTACATATGTATGGGTAATTATGTACATAAGTGCGTATGCGTCTAGACTAGATAGCAGACGACTTAAGCGATATGAAGCACACATGCGCAAGCGTCTGGCATTCGTAGATATTCATGTTGGATGTGTGTTTGTGTGTGTGCCTGTGTGTGGGTGTGGGTGTGTGTGTTTGTATGTGTGTGTGTGTGTGGGCGGACGGACAGAGACCGATAAACAAACCGTCGAACCAACTAACCAGCCCAACAGTCAGACATGTTATACTTATGCTGGCCATACACATACATATGTATGTATGTTTGTGCAGACAGAAAGTGAGACCCGGTAGTAGAACCCATATCTATAGGCATGTTCTATGTGCGTTCGCTTGCGCAACACACCATATTTTAAAAAAATATAAACAAAGTATGCGGTGTCTGAGGTAAATTCTAGTATTTTAAATGCAATACGATGGTCACACTGAAAAAGAGAAATGCGCTTTTATAGTGAAATTTAATGTTTTATATATATAAATTGAAGACTTTTCACCACATGTTCTTATAACAATTGCCAGAATTGGTAAGAAGAGGTATATATAAAAACATATTGTGTCTTTTAGTATTTTTTAAACACCAAGCCTGGTTGGGTCCTACAGTATTTAGAACACACTAATAGGAGCTTATTTAGCTAAAAATTGTGTTCACAGCTGACAGTATTAGCATAGGTCAAAAATGTTGTTACTTAGTATTTAAGGTTACTTTTGGTATTTAAATAATACAATTTGGTAATTAAAAATACTAGTTTATATACATTTGAATTATATAAATTTCCATCAATTAATCTAGCGTCAAGCTGAAAGCTTTGAGCCATTTCCTCATATATTTTCTGCCGCCTTTGCACGCAATTTTGCTCGGTCAGCATACCAGGCATTGTAAATATTTGTGTAAGGTCTGTCGCGCGGCTGTTTGATCTACAGTTACAATAAAAACCGACAGCAGACCGAGGCCAAACAAACAAACAGATGAGAAAATGGCTCGCATGACGCAGACAATGTCTGGCTAAAAGTAATATGATTTAGGGGGGGGGGGGGGCTATGAGGGGGTTTTGCCTGTCTGGGATCGGTCAGGTGAGCTTTTGATCAATGGCTAAGCAAGTCATTGAAAAAAGAAAACAGCGCAATGTTTGCGATTATATCAAATACCAAAACGTCAGACAAAAATTGCAAAAATATAAAAACAACAAAAATGATTAAAATGCAAAAAAAAGTTAATCAACTAAAATTAAAATGTACAACGACTATGTCAACAATGTGTGTGTGTGTGTGTGTGTGTGTGAAAAAGTGAGCTGGTGTGCGTGCGCGTGTGTGTTTATGCTGTCTGGCTTCAACTTTACAACACTACAACAACAACAAGTGGCACTTTAGACTTTTGCGCATTCCCAGCCGCTGTCGCTGCCAGCGTCTCCACTGACTTCGCTGCCGACAGCCGACAGGTGACTCAACCGGCTCAACGTAGTTTTTTTTTCTTTTCCATTTTATACTTTACGTTTTATTTTTTTTTAATTGCACGACGCATTGTTGCTGTAATTTTTATCGCAGGTGACTGATTGAGCGCGTCTGCGCCACAGTCATATCTAAAAGAAAAAAAACTAAAAAAAATAAAACAAACACGTGCACATTAATGTGCCTTACTCAGGCGGGTCACATGCTTTGAGCAACTCATTTGCGCCGGGCAAAGTGCAGCTGACGCATTCTAAGGTGTAACCCGATTAGTTAACCCAATTGCAATTGTTTGATTGAATTTGAAGGCTGGTAGTGTTGCAAAACAAGTGAAAATAGAGTTATGAAGAATTAAAGCAACAAATGCAAGGTGTTTAAAGGGAACATAATAGTAGAAATGAGAAATAAAGTGTTGATAAAAACCAAAAGCAGTTTTTTGGTTACGGACTCAAGAGCTATTGAAGCATATTTATGTTTTCCAGTGTTAAGAAACTAGTAAAAATAGTATTGTATGATATAAAATTCGAGTATACACCTAAACATTATAAAAAAAATAATCGCAATACTGAAAAAACCTAAAAGAAAGGCAACTCCTTTTTTAAAAGTGCTTCAAAAGCATAACACACACACACACGTGTTGTATAGCGTAAACTGATAGACAATTGGAAATAGTGTTGTGTAAGGGAAAATAACAATTATCTAGTGTTCTGTAAGTTATAAAACAAATGGATGTGTGCTTAAACGGAGATTTTAAAGTATCAACAACGAATTCAAATCAAGTTCTTAGTCGAGAATAATTTCTTTCAAAGAATTCGATGTAGCTCGTTTAAGCTTTTAACACGCAATAAATTAAAGTGACATATTAAGCTAATGTCATTACGAGTCTTAGAATTAATATTTGTTCAATATGTGGACAGCTGTTTGGTTCTTAGAGACAACCCCCTCCACCCCTCCTCTCAACGGACTTAGCAGGCAATCAGCTTGTGGTCTGCCTTCGGTTGGCCGCGACTTAAATGGATTTTATGGCTATTTTTAGTTGACGCGCTGATCTCCGAGTGGGCAGGCACACCCGGTGCTCACAGTGGGCAGCGCGTAAACTTGTTTGCAACGCCAATGCACAAAACGCAATCTCCCTCTCCAGCCAGGGGCCATGGGCAGGTGCAGTGGGGTGGGTATACGAGACATGGAAATATCCAAAAACTTGACTTGGCCGGTTCCTTGAACTGCGCACACACAATGACTGGACTGTGCAAATGATAATCGGGCAATTTGGAGGCTGACAATCCAATTGATTAAGTGAAAGGAGCTGCCCCCGAGTTGGGTTTATCTAATATACCATATATACTATATGCGATATATAAAAGAGTTTGTACGAAATATACTGATGTGAGGCTTTAACTACGGCCTGAAACATTTCTACGTGGCGGAAAATGGAAAATTTGTACGAAAAACAGTAACACAAATTTAAGAAGTGAAATTTGACAATGTGACCCCATAAGCCTGCGTCGCAGGTGTCTGAGAGGTCGGACTGAGAAGCGGAAAGTCGCCGGCTCAAATCCAGCAGAAAATTGTAACCATTGACATTTTCAACAGCATATATTTCACCCGAGCGACGCCGGGCTATTATCTTCTACTATGCATGTACGTATCTGCCAGATACTGTATCTTTTGAGCTCGGTGAATTCTTCAAGTTATTAATTTAATGATTATGATGGCAGCGCTAATGACAGTCAAGTGCATTTGTTGTACACAAACCGCTCCGGCACCTCCACCACCCCCCACCCCCCCCACAACCCTGGCCGATATGACGATGATATTGTATGATATTTGGTCAGCTGGAGCATTGACACCTTAATTGATGTCAAGGTCTAACCTTGTGTGTCGCTGAATGAGGCAAATGTCGCGCCTGGAACTAAACTGAACTCAAATCAACTCAACTCAAATCGCCGTTTAAGTATGATAATACAAATATATATACATATATGCATAAGCATATATAGCTCGTTAGATGACATTGAACTTGAAGGAATTTTGCGCACCGTTTTGTAGTGAGACACAATTTTTTTTTTTCATTCTGTTATGAGTTGATTTGATGTATTCATTCGACTAGCTAAATGTGATGCAATTTGCGTTCGAATACTTTGTAACCACTCGTAACCACTGCCAATTAAATTGTAGCTACAAATCAGGGCTGAACAAAAGAGGGGGGGGGGGGGGGGGTGAGGCGAGAGGGCCGCTTGTCTAAGGCCGAGCAGCTGTATCGCGTCACGTACTCGTACTCATACTCGTATCTATGCACATTTTCATCGGACGTCGGGCGTCTGATAAACATTCAGCAAAAATAAATACTGAAATGCTGAGAAAAAAATTTCAGCTACTGACGTCAGTCGAGTGCCAGACAGCAGACGGCGATGCAGAATCGTTCAAATGTCTATATAAAATGTGAATAAACAGCGCAAATATTCGCATAGATCTTCAATTTGCCATAAACGGGCGGAAAGCGATTGCAATTGTGCCACCCAGTTAAACTTTTGACTGAAATGAATAGAAAAACGCACAGGAAAGAAAAATGAGAGCTTTAAAATTTGCAA